AACGTCCCCCACTTCTGGTATCCCATCTTCTACACCCACCTCTGTGGTTACCTCTCCCATAATCACTCCTGTATCTAATCCTTTTGCTGTCCTCGGCTCAGACGTCCCTACTTCAACGCCTCAGTCTAATCTCGCTTCTTCGAGTTCTCTCTTACAAGCCTCAGTATCGACGAGACCTCGTACGACACCTCTTCCCAATCGTCCCTCTACTTCTCAAAAGTCAAAAAAAGGTCCGGTATCACCTCCTACCCATCTTCCACCTCCTCATTTTACCCTCCCTGTCTCTGTCCCTAGTTCTTCCCCTCTCACTGGCTCAGTTACAAGTGCAGAGGTTCACCCTCCTCCTCGTAATGTACCTTCCTCCCTGTTCCCTCCCAAGTTTCTTCCTCTTCTGCCACCTCCAGGTTCCTGTCTCTTCTGTCCCTGCCACGCTTCTCCAGTTCCCTCCACCCTTTCGCCCCCCCTACCTTGGTACAGTCCAATACAGTTCCAATCTTTACTCATCCTCCCCTACCATTCCAATATTGTCTCCCATACGACATCTCTGAATTCCGAAAACACTTGAAGCAATCTCTGAATATATTGCAGAGACCAAACCATCAATGGACACTGATCCACCTTCCGCTCTTTCTCTCTCTCTGCTCCATCTGCGCAACTCCTTTCTTCACAGCGCACCGTTCCTTCGCTGCTTGAACATTTTCCACTGCCTCCGCATGTGGACTTTTCTAACCCTTCTAGTCCGTAGGAACCCTTACCTGCGGATTTCAAGTATCTTTATCATTGCCAATCATGGCCTTTTTACAGTGGAATATACGCGGCCTCAGGGGTAATCGGGGTGAGCTTCAGATGTTACTCTCCCAGTTTGCCCTGTTGGTGTTTGCTTACAGGAACAAAATTACACTCTGCTGTTATTTCTCACATCTCAGGCTATAATTTATTGTATTCTTCAGATCCTTTTCCTGATGGGACCTTTAATGAAAGTGCCCTTCTTCTCCGCACTGATATTCCGTACCATCAGCTATTTATTCATACTTCGCTGCATTACACAGCAGCCCGTATCCACTTACATAGGTGGTATACACTCTGTTCTTTATATCTCTCTCCTTCTCGGGCATTATCTATTCCGGATTTTGCCTTCCTTGTTTCGTCATTACCGCCACCGATTCTGTTACTTGGTGATTTTAATGCCCACCATTTCCTCTGGGGAGGGTCTCACTGTGATTCCCGTGGAATTCAGTTAGAGCTTTTCTTGCCACCCACCCCTCCATGTTTTAAATACAGGTACTCACACCCATTTTGATCCTCGGACTCATACTCTCTCTTGCATCGATCTCTCAGTTTGCTCTTCCTCCGCCGCATTAGACTTTACTTGGTCTGTTCTCCCGGACTTACATGACAGTGATCATTTCCCAATCATTCTTACTTCCCCTTCATATTCGCCACCTCTTCGCACCCCACGCTGGCAATTTAATCGGGCAAATTGGAACCTTTACTCACACCTGACTGTTTTTAAAGAGGTTCCTTCTTCGTCCTCCATCGATGAGCTTTTACACCTCTTCTCGTCCTCCGTTTTCACCGCAGCTTCTCATTCTATACCCCAAACTTCGGGCAGGCATTCTCAGAAATGCGTGCCTTGATGGTCTCCTGCTTGTGCTCGTGCAGTACGTTTGAAGCGCGCTGCATGGGGCAGGTACCGGTACAATAGAACCACAGAGCGACTCCTTGATTTTAAACAGAAGCGTGCGATCGCTCGCCATGTCATCCGTGACGCTAAACGCACTTGCTGGCGAGATTATGTCTCCACCATCACCTCTGCTTCCTCTATGAGTGCAGTCTGGAAAAAAGTACGAAAACTGAGTGGTAAATATTCTCCTGACCCGGCTCCTGTTCTGCGGGTTGCCGGTGTTGATATAGCAAACCCACTAGATGTTGCCAATGAAATTGGCAATCATCTGGTCCGTATTTCTCAGGGACTCCATCTATGCCCCTCATTTCTTTCCTCAAAGTCTGCCAGAGAGTTAGCACCCTTGGACTTTTCTTCTCTCAGAGAAGAACAGTATAATGTGCCTTTTACACTTCAAGAACTGGAGGCAACACTCTCAGCTTGTCGACCATCGGCAGCTGGGCCCGACGACATTCATATTCGTATGCTACAACATTTACATCAGTCAGCCCTTGCAGTCCTATTACGCCTTTACAATCTTATTTGGTCACAAGGAGTTCTTCCACAGCTGTGGAAATCCGCCGTTGTTCTCCCTTTCCGCAAACCAGGCACTACGGGACATGAAACCTCCCACTATCGTCCCATTGCTCTTACCAGTGCAGTTTGCAAAGTAATGGAACATCTAGTAAATAGACGTTTAGTGTGGTATTTAGAGACACACAACAGTCTCTCCACTCGCCAATATGGCTTTCGTAAGGGACGTTCTACCATAGACCCCTTACTGCGCTTGGATACGTATGTTCGTAATGCCTTTGCGAATAACCACTCAGTTATTGCCATATTTTTTGACCTTGAGAAGGCATATGACACAACTTGGAGGTATAATATTTTAGCCCAAGCCCACTCCTTAGGCCTTCGAGGCAATCTACCATCCTTCCTTAAGAACTTTTTAACTGACAGGCATTTCCGTGTTCGGGTTAATAATGTGCTCTCCCCGGACTTTGTCCAAGCTGAAGGTGTCCCCCAGGGATGTGTTATGAGCACAACACTTTTTCTCCTTGCTATTAATGATTTGGCCTCTAGTCTTCCATCAAATATTTGGTCATCACTCTATGTTGATGACTTCGCTATTGCCTGTGCAGGCGCTGACTGTCACCTCCTTACAGTTTCTCTCCAGCATGCAGTCGACCGTGTTTCCAATTGGGCCACCACACATGGGTTTAAATTTTCCAGCACTAAAACCCACCAAATCACTTTCACTAGACGCTCTGTCATCTCTGATCATCCTTTGTACCTCTATGGCTCACGTATCCCTGAACGTGATACAGTCAAGTTTCTGGGCCTCCTCTTTGATCGTAGGTTATCCTGGAAACCTCACATTACCTCTCTGAAGGCAACTTGTCACAGCCGGCTGAACCTTCTTAAAACCCTTGCTCATCTTTCGTGGGGAGCTGATCGTCGAACCCTCCTTCACCTACATTCCACCCTTATTTTATCGAAACTTGATTATGGTGACCAGATCTATTCAGCGGCATCTCCTGCTACTCTCTCTAGCCTTAACCCCATCCATCACCAAGGATTACGTTTATGCCTTGGTGCTTTTCGCTCTTCCCCTGTCGAAAGCCTCTATGCAGAAGTGAACGTTCCATCCTTATCCGATCGCCGTGATGCCCATTGCCTGCGCTACTATGTACGCTCTCATGATCTCCGCAATCCTTCCATTTATAGAATGGTCACTGATATTAGTAGACATTCTTTATTTGTTCGCCGCCCCTGCTTACTCCGTCCCTTCTCTCTTCGCCTTCATTCGCTCTTGTCTTCTCTTCAACTACCACCTTTCTATGTACATGTAGCATCTCACTTTTCCCTACCCCCCTGGGAAGTTCCAGCTGTTCGAGTCTGTTCTTTCTCCCTCCCTTGCTCGAAAGCCCAACTGTCTACGGTCGCTTCCCGCTCTCTTTTTCTTGACCACTTTCACTCTCATTCTCATGCCATTGCTGTGTACACAGATGGCTCTAAGTCTTCTGACGGCGTAGGATTCGCAGCAGTGTTTCCGGACAGCGTCGTACAAGGGCATTTACTATCTTCAGCTAGTATTTTTACTGCTGAATTATATGCCATCCTTACAGCACTTATCCGTATTGCATCTATGCCTGTGTCATCATTTGTGGTTGTCTCAGACTCCCTTAGTGCTTTACAGGCTATACAAAAATTTGATACACCTCACCCCTTAGTCCTCCGTATCCAACTTTGGCTACGCCGCATCTTTACTAAGCATAAAGATATTGTTTTTTGTTGGGTCCCTGGTCATGTTGACGTACAGGGCAATGAACAGGCAGACACTGCTGCGCGGTCAGCAGTACATGACCTACCAGTTTCTTATAGAGGTATTCCATGTACGGACTATTTTGCTGTAATATCTTCCCACCTTCACACCCGTTGGCAACAACGTTGGTCTACTATGCTCGGCAACAAACTTCAGTCTATTAAACCGAGTATAGGTTACTGGCCGTCTTCTTATCACCAGTGTCGAGGTTGGGAGACTACTCTCTCCCGTCTTCGCATTGGCCATACTCGTCTTACTCATGGATATCTCATGGAGAGGCGTCTTGCTCCTCTCTGTGAGAATTGCCAAGCTCCATTATCAGTCAGCCACATTCTGTTGGACTGCCCACTTTATCAACGAGCACGCAGAATTTACCTCTGTCGTCGTCTTCGCCCCGCTGCTCTCTCTTTACCTTCCCTTCTCGCTGATGGACCCACCTTTCATCCGGACTCTCTCATTGACTTTTTGACAACGACTGACTTACTTCACAAATTCTGATACTTTCAGCCCTTTCTACTTGTATCTCTTGCTACCCTCTACCCCCGTACTATCCCCTGCCCCGCTGTTTTCTGTAACCTGCTGATCATCCCCCCTCCCTTCTGCCATCCAATTCCCTTGCTTCCTTCCCTACCCTGCAGCGCTGTATAGCCCTTGTGGCTTAGCGCTTCTTTTTGATTATAATAATAATAATAATAATAATCTTGGCAATTAGGTCATTTACTGCATCAGGGTGTTGTAGATGCTGGAAATGAATTGTTTGTGCTCATAAATAGGACAGTATTAAAATTCTTTTGACCATCCATTTCCCTGATGGAAAAACCTGCATTATGTTGACAGTGGTAATTGTAAAAATTTGTAATGGTTAATTGGAGCAAGCACATTATGTTGAACTGCTCACTTTAGTTGAGTAATGTCTCTATACTACAGTAATGTAGAAAGTTTAGCAGTTTACTTCTAAGCTGTTTTTGTAAGATGAAATTAGTGTTTCTGCAAGTAGAAAAAGAAGAAAAAATTCTTTAACATCTTTATTTCATTAAAACTCAGTTCATGCAATACATATATACATTTACACCATTAGGACTTGGGAGCTGAGCAATAGCCCCAGTTCTTTGTTCTTAACGTACATAAATGGGATAAAATGTCTGATAGTGACAGCACAGCAGTCTCTGCTACAGTATACTAACACACTTTTAACAAGTGTAACAGCTTGTACTATGAGTACAAAATTAATATTGCCTTGCATTTAATTATTCATACAAATTGTGACAACAGTTTTTTATCCACATAATTACACTAAATATGGGCACCCAATGAGAATTGCAATACGATCAGCATTATCGCAGGAGTACCACTTTTGTACTCGTGATCAAAGTTGAATATCGTGCAGCCAACTTGAACCCTCAAGGCTCAAATATACAGCTACAGATGAAAGCCATGTTCATAATTATAACAAACTATTATGACTTACAAAATCATAATAGCATGATTGCAAACAGGTGGGGCTCGAACCCTTGGCAGGCGAGTCCTGTGACTTGCAGGTCGGTGCGTAAACCACTCGGCCAGCTGACTCTAGTGGGATTCATCCAACTAAGTGTGTTTCTATTCACCATAGCCATGATGGTGTGGGATTCGTCTGTTAAAAAAAAAAAAAATATGCATTTGTGGTCAGAAAGAGGCCCACGCTATCCTCTCTATGGTGTGGAAATGTGCCTAGTTTGATGAATCTTATTAAAACCAGCTGGCCTGGTGGTTGGCATGCTAGCCTGTGAGTTCTGGAACTTGGCTGCCATGGGTTCAAGCTTCACCGATTCTGTGATTTTTATCAAACCATTACAGTACAGTAGTTATTCAGGAGTGCTTAATATTTCATGTTGCTTTAGGGGCTTAGTAAATTATGAACATGACAGGTATCACAGCTCAAGGACTCCCAAAAGTCTTTGCTATCAGCATGGCACTCCTTCTCACACTAAACTTCACAAAATTATGTACAGTACAAGAACATAAATGTGTGTACCATTCTTTTCACTGATTCATGAGCTACAGTGTATATGAACATAAATACAGTACATTTAAATTGAGCTTTTGATTCTGTTTTTGTAAGTAACTTTAAAAAAATCATTTGCATACAATGTGGCATTAATAATTACCTTTGTTGATGCACAATTACTTAAAATATAGTACAGTACTTCCTAACCTAGAATGATATCTTTATTGTACAATTTCAACCATTTACATTTTTATCACAATTTTAGCAACACCCAGGTTGACCAAAATCAATAGGAAAGTCTGGCCCCAGACAAGGTAAATGGGTCCTCAAAACCAGTCACAGGGAACATATTACATGTACATGCCAAATTTACATGATAGAAAAAGTTAAGTGCCTACTGTGCCCAACAGAAGTCATTGAATAATTGTTAGTACTTTTCTAATATTCTAATGATAACAAATTGAGCATCATGGCAAAATTTGTAATACAGTCAGAGTCATTTCCCAAATAAGGAAACATTCACTATCAATCACTCATTCAATAGCTAACCTGCCAAAAGTGTACAGATATCTTAATTCAAATGACTCTGAATAACAACATTCCCACCCATCTTTCAGAAATCTAGTTTTGCTAACCAGTTCCCCCAGAATCCCTTATGAAATATTACCTTACTTTAACATCATGTAAAATCCCAAAAATAACTTCTTCACTCATTCCAATCCAACACAGAGAGACAGACAGACACACACACACACAAACAGACAGCAACTGGATGCTGAAGCCCCTACCACTCACAAAATTTCACAATCCCTCTCCAACCCCTCTGTTTGCTTTATCCTTCCTTCCTTTCCCACCCTCCCAAACTCCAACCTTTGCACCTTCTCTAACAAATCTCTGAAAAGCACTGCCATCAGCAAAAAAGCAACTTTACAAGGTAGTTCATTCCCCATTCAGAGAAAGGGAGTACTGTACTGCACATCAAAGAGATATAAGACATTAATAACTGTTAACTAAAGATTAAGACATGTATTCCCAACTAACCAACACATCACAAAATACTTTGGTATATAAATCTCACTAGTAGATAGAACAAAATACTACCTTTCAGTCACAGAATTTACTAAATGTTACTCCATTATAATGACTAAGTGTGTAGTGTCAGTTGATAAAACAGATTTGTATTAATTGAGAAGATGAAATAAAGGGAAATAAAAATGAGATAAATCTGAGCTGGTCAGGAAGTAAGTGTTATGTTTAGTCATACTGCTCTGATAGGGTGAAACAAAGAAAACTTATCAAGAAGTCTTGTTGAATAATATTTTGCTTGTGTGAACTTTATAAAGTGCTATAGATGCAGCTGTAATGAGAGTTGTTAAGGCTGCACACAAGCCTTTCACCACCAGTCAAGAATACTTTAATCCCTAAAATTGTGATTCAGGAAAACTAACTGCATATACACAAAAACAAACACCTCAATGTATAATCCTTCAGGTGCTGTAGAGGAAAGCCCCTCAAGGTAGGTGCAGTGAAGCAAATATTTTAATCAGTGGTAAGTGCTAAACCCATAGAAGCCATGCCTCAAGTAATTGAACTTGCCCTTCCCTTCCTTAGATCAAACCTAAATGCCTCCTATTCCCTAGGCACAATATGAGTTCAGCACTCTTCCCCTTTGATTAAAATAAAAGTACAATAAAGAGCACAACACAAACTTTTAAACCCAATAACAGCACAGTATGAAGGCTAGTATTGAAAGGGCAGAGCACACATGAACTTCCCTACCCCATCACAGCAGCTGAGGTTGGTGTTGAAAATTGTGGTAGTGACAGGAGCTCAACATAATTAGGACAGATGTTGAGCCAGAAACTTGGGCCAACACTGACAATGTTATTATGCCTCTTCCCATTTGTTACTAACCACCTAATCCTTACCTGCTATGATAGTGTGTTGAGATACATAACTTGGTATTGTGTGTTCCTCTGTATGACTATAAAGCACACAGTTGAGAGGAACTAGTCTGTATCTTTGCTTGATCCTACTTCTTGGCAGTTCGCTTATTCCATTGTTTATATAGGTAAATTTTCTGTTATGTAAATTTTACTTCAAACATTAACACTTAAATTCTGCAACAAAATTAATATTAAACTGAGGTCTAGTGACCCCAGGTTCACACGGAAGCACTAGTACTGGGACATTTAACCAAGTGTTAGAGTAAAGATGATACCCAGTTTGACTGCCTTTGTCTTTTCTTATGGTAACATTAAAACAACTGTACACCATTCAATTTTTTACAATATTACAGTATTACTAAATGAATCAGATCCTGTAAATACTAGTGATTCTAATAATTTTTGCAGTATCAATTTGTAGTAATTTGTTTCTTCTTCCAACAGCAGTCTCAGAAGGGAGAAGGGCAATGGGAATGTCTTTTTCCTGGAGATAAAATTAATTTTTATTCCTATATTTAATATTTTTCTGCAGGAAAATACCCAAATGGTTCAAAAGATAATATGTTGAGATGTACAAAGTAACATTTATGATGCTGATAGCAACATCAGCAGCACTTCTGGTAAGAAAATGACTATGAAAGTGATTTTTTTTTTTTTTTTTGGGGGGGGGGGGGAGTTACCTTGTCTTGGTAGGAGATGGCCACTGAGACCAATGTATGTATGTATGTATGCATATATGTATATATGTATATAAAGAAGGTTTTGTGGGCGAGGGGCTTGGACTTCCAGCAAGCGTGCATGAGCGTGTTAGATAGGAGTGAATGGAGACGAATGATACTTGGGACCTGACGATCTGTTGGAGTGTGAGCAGGGTAATATTTAGTGAAGGGATTCAGGGAAACCGGTTATTTTCATATAGTCGGACTTGAGTCCTGGAAATGGGAAGTACAATGCCTGCACTTTAAAGGAGGGGTTTGGGATATTGGCAGTTTGGAAGGATATGTTGTGTATCTTTATATGTATATGCTTCTAAACTGTTGTATTCTGAGCACCTCTGCAAAAACAGTGATAATGTGTGAGTGTGGTAAACCATACCCCCGGCCGGGATTGAACCCGCGGTCATAGAGTCTCAAAACTCCAGCCCGTCGCGTTAGCCACTAGACCAGCTAGCCACAATAAGATTCATCCAACTAGGTATATTTCTACACCATACGATTTCTTGAGTCATGTGAGTGTGGTGAAAGTGTTGAATGATGATGAAAGTATTTTCTTTTTGGGGATTTTCTTTCTTTTTTGGGTCATCCTGCCTCGGTGGGAGACGGACGACTTGTTGAAAAAAAAAAATATATATATATATTTAATTTAATTATTTATTTATTTTCTACCAAGGCAAGTTCACCCAAAAAGGGAAACACATTCATCACCATTCACTAAATCTGTCTTGCCAGAAGTGTGCTGACATCGCAATCAGCTTACCCCCAACTTTAATATCACTATCACTTCTTCAGAGTGCAGGTACAGTGGTACCTTGGGTTACGAACTTAATTCATTCCAGGAGGCTGTTTGAGTGTTGATACCGAACGAATTTGTTTCCATAAAGAATAATGTATATTAGATTAATCTGTTTCAGACCCCCAAAAATACACTTACATAATTGTTCAAGCTGGGAGCTGTTCGTGTGCCGAGGTACCACTGTATTGTCTGTTCCACCTCCAGGACTTGAGTCTGGCTAACTAGGTCCTTTTGCATACAGGAAAGGGAGAAAAGATAATGTAAGAATTATGGGGGAAGGGGGAATAAGCCTGTTGATTATAACAGTTAAAGTTTATGATAAAATTATTATTGAAAGGGTTAGGGCCAGGGTAATACAAAGTAAGATTGCAGAGGAATAGGGAAGACTTAGAAAGGGTAGAGAATATGTAGAACAAGTGTTTATATTTAAACATGTAAATGAGCAGTACTAAGACAAAGGTAAGGACCCATTTGTTTTATCTATGGATTAAGAAAAGGCATATGATAGGGTAGATATGAAAGCCATGTAGCAGTTGTTGCAAATGTATGGAATAAGTTACTGAATGCAGTTAAGAGTTCCATGCAATAAGTGAGGCTCAGGTTAGAGTATGTATGAGGGAGAGGGACTTTCCCAGTGAAAGTAGGACTTACACAGGCATGTGTAACATCATATGTGTGTAGATAGGACTGTGAAAGTAAATGCTAAGGTGTTGGGAAGTGGTGTGGGACTGAAAGATGCTGGATCTGATACAAAGCAGAAGTTATCCCAGTTGCTCTTTACTGATGACAGTTCTTTTAGGTGATTCTGAAAAATTACAAAGGATGATGGATAAATTTGAGACTGCATGTAAAAGGAGGGCATTAAAAGTGAATGTAGAAAAGAGCAAGGTGATGAGAGAAACAAAAAATCTAGGCAATGACAGACTGAATATCAGACTGGAGGGAAGTAAAGATGAAGTGGATGTATTTACATATTTGGGAGTAGGCATGTCAGCAGATGGGCCTGTGAAAGATGAAATGAGCCATAAAATTGATAAGGGAAAAAAGTGGGCAGTGTGTTGAAGTCTGTGGAAAAAAAAAAGTTTATATATTGAGTTTTAAATGCTGCAGCAAAAGAGACTAGAGATGTCATGTTTGTTAGGAATGTGTGCTGTTAATATCATGCAGAGAATTCAGTGTGTGGAAAGGTAAAGACAATGTGGGGTGAGCAAGAGTATAATTTGGAGAGCTAAGGAGTGGTTGTTGACAGTTTTGGGCATGTAGAAAGCATGGTCAGGGACAGGTTGACAGTATATACATCTGCATTAGAAGGGGGAGTACAAGAGGCTAGTGGGCTTGCGAAAGCATGTTAGATTAAAGTGAATGGAAACAAATTATTTTTAATGGATGTGTTGAAGTGCAAGCAGGAATAGCATCAGAAGTTCTATACTGGAGAAGATTAGGAGTGGCTATCTGGTTGGAAGAGGATGCTAGGAGACTTGTTTTAAAGCAGCAGCATTATTACTATTTTTATTTGGGAGCTGAGGGAAATATTTTTAAGGGGGCTGTAGCCCCTTAAGCCCCCCCCCCCCCCAAATTCAGGGAAACTGCTTAGCAGGACTTGAATCCAGGAACTAGGGAAGGTAGTGCCTGTACTTTAAAGGAGGGTTGGTGATGTCAGCACACTTCTGGAATGATGATGATTGAATGAATGTTGGTAAACGTTTTCTTCTTTGGGTTACTCTGCCTTGGCAGGAAATAGCCGTTTAAAAAATATGTAATTTTTTTTTTTAATGGCTATCTCCAGCCAAGACAGGGTGACCAAAAGAAGAAAATGCATTCACCAATATTCACTAAATTGCACTTTTCCAGAGGTGTGCTGACATCACAATCAGAATACCCCTCTGTCTGTAACATCTGCACTCCTTTAAAGTACAGGCACTGCCCTTCCTGCCTCCAGGACTCAAGTCCAGAGACAGTGTTAGGTAGCAATACGTATATGCATGCTTAACAATTCACAAACAGGCAAAATTATTTACACACATTATATCTTAGTCTCCAGCAGAATTTGAACCTGCACGCTCTGCATCAAAGTATACAATATCATAGCCCCTCCCTCCAACCTATCCTAATATGACCTTTACCCCACCTTCCCTCCACTACAATTTGTGCACTCTCCAAGTCAACTTATTTTGTTCCATTTATAAATGTTAAATATCCCTCCTTAGCCCTCTAGATAATAACCCTGCACTTCCTTCTAATCTCGTTTTTGTAATAAAAATTTAGCAAAATAATGACGTCAAACTAAAATAAGCCCCTGTGGCCACTTTAAAGTATTTTCCAACATGAAAAGGACCTAGATATTAGGTGTTACTGCTAACTAGAACATGGATACAATGTAACATGTTACCGTAGATGCTTACTGCTGCTTTATGTCTAAAAGATTTTCTTAATGGTTATCTTAACCATCACAATGAGATGTAAATACTATACCAACCTACTATGCAATGTCACAAATGGCATAGAGTATCTGATTTCAGTGTCCTAAGAAAAGAAGTCACATTTTTTCATCTTCTCAGATTAATAATTAATAACCAAAATATAAATCAGTATCTACTGATATACGGTAGTACGTACTTCTTATACAAGAACTTAGACTATTTCAACTATGATGGTGAAACCCCAATCATTGAGGCAATGCAAGTGGATAAGTCTTTCAAATTTGGCAATACTGTATAGTATATGCTATCCTTAAATTTAACAAAATAATAAATATTTATGATCCTTCATGCTAAAACACAGGAAGCACCATTTTATGCAGTTATGTATGGCATACACTGACAATCCAGGAAAGAGCAAGCAAATTTATCCAAAATTAATTAACACAGCTCATCTTTCCATTTGACCCTTTAGCATATTATTTACATACTGCATTGCAATTATGGCCAATATGGCCCACTTGTTTCTGTCTTTCTGTGCTTCAGACAATTTTGTGATCTGGAGGTAAATTTAGAAATAACATTAATTATATACATGGAATAAAATACAAGTGAAAATTTAAATATTTAACTTTTCTTAAAATTAACACAGTAGTGTAGACCCAAATTAAAAATTTAAAGATAAAACATTGGGTGCTTGGTCAAAATTTTATATTAGTAATTTTGCCAAACACAATACACAGTCACACCTCATACATCCAGGATACAATACCACATAACCAGGGACACTAGTAAATCTATGCTACTGGCTCTACCCATTGCTACTTTAACAAATCTTGTGATTTGAAGTTATGTGGCATCAGTTCTTTGTGTTGCTTCTTGAAATCCTCCAGCATAGTGGCATACTCCTGCAGCCCACTTTACCTGTTGTGCATACATTTACTGATAAGTGAAACTCGTGTTTTAGCTATTTTTCCAAGCATTTCACCCTAATTATATAAAATTGTCTAGCCAGGAATGTAAATTTATACCTCTTTCGCATGTTCCAATTTGAGCAAGCAATTTTCTCTGTATTGCCGTTCAGTTCTACTTGATTTATCGTGCTACAGAAATTTAATATTTGTTATTCTTGATTATGTTAGGTTAATGCAAAATAAACCTTATTCACATAACTCATAATAACAGAAAAATACAGGTGGCGTACATCTAGCAGGATGTATTGTTCTACCCTACAGCATTTGCTTTCTTAATGTTAAAATATTGGAGTATGGATTGGCTTGTGACTATGAGGAAAATAATCAGCCTGACAGATTTCTCATCATATTTAGCAGAGCTCAAACAGCACTTTCAATAAAGCCAACTCGTCTCCAATTACCAGACTAGAAGAATGTTCATTATATTCTCCATAAATATGTAAATCCTAGGTAGTAGGTTGGTAGACAGCAACCGCCGAGGGAGGTACTACCGTCCTGCCAAGTGAGTGTAAAACCAAAGCCTGTAATTGTTTTACATGATGGTAGGATTGCTGGTGTCTTTTTTTTTGTCTCGTACACATGCAAGATTTCAGGTACGTCTTGCTACTTCTACTTAGGTCACACTACACATACATGTACAAGCATATATATACACACCCCTCTGGGTTTTCTTCTATTTTCTTTCTAGTTCTTGTTCTTATTTATTTCCTCTTACCTCCATGGGGAAGTGGAACAGAATTCTTCCTCCGTAAGCCATGCGTGTTGTAAGAGGCGACTAAAATGCCGGGAGCAAGGGGCTAGTAACCCCTTCTCCTGTATATATTACTAAATGTAAAAGGAGAAACTTTCGTTTTTCCTTTTGGGCCTCCCCGCCTCGGTGGGATATGGCTGGTGTGTTGAAAGAAGGAAAATATGCAAATGCAATTTGTCAAGATTTAGTCAGTAATAGCCACCATGCCTGAGAATCACCACAACTGCACAGGAGTAAAACACTGAAGATGAAATGACCTACTATTTCAGGAAAAACCCAAGTGCTCCCCAGAGACATAGAGGAAGATGGTGAGAGAGAATTGCTGTCATTTCCCCATGCTGAATAGCTGGTTACAGCTTTCCCCAGATTCACTGGCATTAAGTAAGGTAACAGTATCTGAAATAGGATTCATCTGGAGACAGCAGTTAACACTATACAATTTCCCATTTTTTATTAATATCTATTTGTTGCTTCAGGATTATTATAATCATAATTAAGTGCTAAATGCACATGGGTCATACAGTACTGCATTATTATAATAAAAAGAGCACTAAACCTACAAGGGTCATACAACACAGAAGGGCAGGGAAGAGTGCAGAGGCATTGGGTAGCAAGAGGGAGAGGGATTATTATTAGGTTATGTAGTGCAGCGAGTAGCAAGAGATTGAGGTAGAAATGGCTGTGAGGAGTGCTAGAGGCATCGTCATCAAAGTTTGTGCAGTAAATCAAATGCTGTCAAAAAGTCAACGAGAGAGTCTTGGTTAAAAGAGGGTCCATCGGCAAGAAAGGAAGATAAAGTAAAGTAAGGGCATTAGAGCACTGACAACATCAGCGGTAAATTCTGTATGCTCGTTGATAAAGTCGGCAGTCCAACAGAATATGGAACCTGACAATTCTCAAGACTGGAACAGGGCGCCTCAATACTCATGACGAGAAGATGGCCAGAAACCTATACTTGGTTTAATAGAAATAAATTTATGTAGCAGACAAGACCAACGGTTGCGAAGGTGGGTAGAAATCCCAGCAAAATTACAGTACTGCAATGTTGCTTCAGTAGCAGAGCTTAGCTCTTGGTTTTCAACTTCAGTATTTTGGTATGTTAAACATTTTTAATTTCCAGCGGTAGATCTTGCTACCTCTTGAATCCTATTACAGTTCTGACATTAACCCTGAGGCTGTGCATGACAACAGAATGCAAGTAACCAAAATGTGCATGACATACTAGTACACATCACTCTTGTGCTTTCAAATATGCCACCTGCTGCTATTTTAGGTCTCAGCTCAACTGCTTCATGGGGAATGCTGCCTCAATAACACATGTAAACAGCAAAAACCAGGACCTGTTGTGCTACCACCAGCTTCCCTGCCAGTAAACACTGTGCAACAATTTCATGATAATTCAGTAAATAGTAAAAAAAAAAAAAATCACACTATGTAGATTTAATCTAGGATAACCCAATAAAATCAAACAATGTAGTAACTTATTTCCATATTTTGAGTATTACATCTTGAAATGACTGAAATATTTTAAGTATTCCTTGTACATAGTACATACAGCCTCTCCTCACTTAATGACTGAGTTTTGGGCCTAAGACCACGTCGGTAAACGAATTCATAGCTAAGTAAGGAGCATACTATAATAGTGGCGAGTTTGTGTCGACTATTTTTGATATTGTTTTAATGTCACTTTTGCACCATTCATAACATTTTTAAATGTCTGTACAGTAGCGTACTGTATGTTGTATTAAACAGAATAGAGGAAATCAGCTTTAACATACATTATTTAGGTATGCATACTGGTCAGAGCCTGTCATAAGTCAGAGTCATCGGTAAACGAGTATGTCGCTAAGTGAGGAGGCTGTATATTGCAAGTACAGTATTCCTTGTACATATTTACAAATATATACTGTATATTCCAAGAGTAGTAGTGTCAGTTAACATTAACCCATGTTTGAATGTTAAAATACCTTTAAGCACATCTGTACTTTAGTGCCTAGTTATGATTATAATAATAATTTAAGCACATCTAACAAACTAGTGTACATAGTATTACACATTAAAAGTAATTAAAAACTGAAAAATTATCATAATTTAGCATCAAAAATTTTAAAACAAATACCGCTGGTGCATTTACGGCACTGTTAACGAGTGATCAGATCCCACTCATTTTAGTGTTATTCAATTCATAAAAAATGCACTCTTTCATTCCATACATTATTTTTTTTTTTCTCAAAATCTTCCAGGTATGCCACGCCACGGTTTAGGAGTTAAACATTACCGGGTTGAATAATTATGCTCAGCTATGCTACTGTCACTCCTTGTCCAAAATAAAAGAAAGCTCCTGGTCCCAATGATTCTGGATAAACGAGGTGCAACTATACTGAAAATGAGGACTCTTACAAATCTGTAAACACAAGTACAGTATCACAAATATTTGGATGAGTATATTAAATGGTTTTGCTCAAAGACTGAGCATACAAAGAAATAATGCTAATAAGATTAATAGCAGCAATATGAGTATTTTGTACCTGCAGCTTCACAAACTTCCAACACAAAAACAAAATATCTGGCAGTATAGTACAATCTGCCACTTGCAACACACATAAAAAAATAAATTTCTAAAAGGTGTCCATATAACTATCATCCAATTGATTTTACTAATCCACCATTAAAAGATTCAACACTGATACACAATATGTGAAGCGAGTGAGTAATTATTTTCGTACGTAGGATTACTTCACTTAAACAGATTACATCTACATCTGTTACATATATATATATATATATATATAGTTCAGTATATGGAATTGTCTTCTCTTTCCTGGATCACTGATAAAGAAAAAATACAGACATTTTCTCTTGTATGTAAAAGTTGAATGACACTGTCATATATTAATACAAAATTACTCCCTTGCTATAACAGTGCTGTGAACAATATTACCTACACAAGTAAGACCCTCCCTTCCCTCTCCCTTTTCCCCACAATCTGGACAGCCTTTATTACAATGGCACAAAATTTCTTTACACATCGTAATAGAATCTGAAGTTCTAATCGATTCCCCTAGTTAGAGAACTCTCGAGTATGATTTCAAATTCATTAAGAGCAGACAAAACATTAATTAGGTCCCGCACAAGCTGTGGATCTCTAAGGAAGGATGACTCGTCATACATGTGACTTGTGATTGGAGATCTTTGTAGAGGTAACAATATGCGTGGTAAAAGGTGGGATCTGGAAAAATAATTATAATTAATAGTCATGCTGTATACAGCTTTAAAAATTCCATACTGTACTGGAAGGCATCCAAAAAAATCCCAATGCATTACATTTTTATAAGTTCTAAATATTTGTTTTGCCATACAAAATTTGTGTTGTATTGAAATTAGTAGGGCAGCTTATGTGTGGTGCTAAAGACTACATTGTGGATACTCTTTGTTTTTAATACATCAGCAGCCTTTTATATGGCAATATTTTGGCATTTAAATTTTTGAAGTCATAGATATTCAAGAAGTTGCTGCCTTGTAACTAAACAAATACAATGGTGACCATTCTGAAAACTGGCAATTTCAGAAATATTTTCACTATCTTTTCATTATTATATGGAATTGTTATAATACAAGAATTCTAAACATTTTGCATAATAATTTGAGTTCTTGTTCCTTGTGAAAGGATCAGGACTCAGTTTAGCAGATTAATAACAAAAATATTCATCAAACTTGAACTCACACGGCCCAATCCCAATCAATAACCGGTTTCAAAATAACGGACTTGATGTATGTTAAAATTAAATTTCCAAAAATATACAATTGTTACAAATTTTGTGGGAAGCCCCTGGTTATGCAAAGCATATCAGGGTGACTAAATTAAAATTTAAAGCCAATGTACTCGACACTGTATAACTGAAGTACAGAATATTTGAATGTTAAGTTCAATATATATATGAATATGAGGGGTAGTGCTTGCACTCTGAAGGAGGGGGGATAGGGATGCTACAGGTGAAAAGCCATCTGAATTGCATTACATATCATAATCAATCAAAACGCAGTGGTACCTTGACTTAAGAGTTTAATTCATTCCATGACCCAGCTCATAACTCAATCTGTTCGTATATCAAATCAACTTTCCTCACTGAAATTAACTGAAATGCCATTAATCCATTCCAGCGGAATTCCTGGCTCTCGGGAGGCAGCAGAAAATATTTCCATATAACGCTACGGCTTATCTATCAAAATTGATCTAATATGACATAATAAACAATATAAATAACATAGAAACATGATATATACTCTAGAATGAATAAAATATGTCATTATGTGATGAGTGGTGGCGGCCACTCCCAAGGTAAAAATAATTATCGCTCTGACCGTATCTTCCCATTTTTTGCCCTTCTAAGGTCTTATTATAAGAGAAAACAGCGTTTGTGAGGCTAACTGCACTAGATCACTAGTTTCATAAGGAAAACACCGAAACAAAGGCAATTTTCTTGGAATTTTTTTTTTTCCCAGAGTCGGGAGACTGGCCTACATCTTGGGTGAATATCTTGGAAGTAAATGCCTCGTGCCTTCTTGCAGAGAAGGCACGAGGCACAAAGTACATACTATGCTTGTACTGTCTTGCCAAGTCGACTACACACACACACACCTCACTCGTGTTTTTCTATGATTTCATGCTTTAATTCAATGGACAGCATCCTCTCCTCAGCACTGTCCTTTGCAGTTACTTTCTTAGGACCCACGGTTAGAAAAAAGGAATTTGGCAAAATAACTGCACAAAACGCAAGCACAGCACGAGATGCTTCCATGGCGAGGTAACCACGTACGATGTTGTGGCAGTCCCTGCGCCAAATAGTGGCGGCATATCTGAAGCTCGTTCGTAACTCAGAAAACTCGTAAGTCAAGGTACCACTGTACATAGCATACTCTATTTTCCTTGTACAATGCTAATGCTGTAAAGTGGACAGGAAAAGAAAGATTTTATTCAGTTTAGAGGTACTAAAATGCATTTTTTAAATTGTTAAATACATCAGTCTACCAAAGATATATAAAAAAAATTGACACTGGACTCTCAGGTGATCTTGGGCTTACTATCCTCTACAAGGAGAAAATAGTAAATACAATAATTTATATCTTATTTGGACTATTACAGTGGAACACTTTCATTATTTTGGGTAGTAGCAGTAATAGAAAGTGGGAAATTACACCATAATATAGTATATACTGTTCTGTAATGTATAGGAGTAATTTTTAATCTGTGTTCCACTACATATATGTCACTCACTCTGATAAAACGCTTGTCTTTTCTCAATTTCCTCTATTATTCTGTTTCAATTTTTTTTTTTTAACAAGTCAGCCATCTCCCACCGAGGCAGGGTGACCCAAAAAGAAAGAACTTTCATCATCATTCAACTCTTTCACCTCACTCACACATAATCACTGTTTTTGCAGAGGTGCTCAGAACACAGCTTAGAAGCATACACGTATAAAGATACACAACATATCACTCCAAACTATCAATATCCCGAACCCCTCCTTTAGAGTGCAGGTATTGTACTTCCCATTTCCAGGACTCAAGCCCAGCTATATAAAAATAACTGATTTCCCTGAATCCTTTCACTAAATATTACCCTGCCCACGCTCCAACAGATCGTCAGGTCCCAAATACCATTTGTCTCTATTCGCCCCTATCAAACACACTCACGCACGCCTGCTGGTCATGAGAAGAAATATTTCTACTGATTGGAATCCTTTGAAAAATATGTGATATTTAAACAAACACTATATCACACTGCTATGTTAGTAAATAAACATGTGCTAGAAACACAACAGTCGCTTGCTTGAAGCCAACCAAGCTCTGACAGGACCAATAGTCAGATTCTAAATAACCATTTGAAACAGAATACAGGCGAGCCCCGCTTATACAGCAGGCTAGGTTCTGAGCTACTGTTGTAGAGTGAAACATAGCCTTTTTTCAATTTCAAGCTGTATAGCCCTTGTGGCTTAACACTTCTTTATTATTATAATAATAATTTTATTTCAAATGCATATAAAAGCCTGATAAAATGCTTACACCATCATATATTAGGTGAGCAATAGAGCTAGGCCTAAAAAGTGTATATACAGTTCACACATCACTTAAAATATTTTCATCCTTAGCGTATAGTGAGTGGTGAATATATTAATGTAGGAAGTCCGAATATATGAAGAATGGGTATAACTGAAAACCGTTGCATTAGCGAAATGCTGTAGTGTGGGGTCTACCTGTATACTGCACATGAAAAGTACTGAAAAATTTTGAATACAGAGTAGAATTCTTCCCAAGAATTAAATCAGAACATGGAAACCAACAGTATATTAGTGTATAAAATACCAGTGTTATTCTATACAACCGATTCCTCTCCCCTTCCTCAATTTCATGAGCTTTTTAAGTTGGTTATTCAGTTATCTGAAGTTTTAAATGAAAATCCTACCATGAATAGCTTTATCTTTTTTTTTTTTATTCACTTGGAATATGACCCTAAATTGAAAATTAACCATAAGATTTCATGCAAAATATGCTGAATGGGCTTCTCATAAAAAAAATTCTTCCTGGTAATTCTTTTTCTATCTATATCAACTGATTAGAGGAAGGTTTAGATAACTATGGCCTCTGAAACACACGAAAAAAAATTATTATACCGAAATAATAATAACTGCAAGTTCTAAATTCATGAGGACCTCTAGACACCTAACCCTCATGAATTTAAAAATTTGTCTATTTATAATTTTCCAAATTTTGAAAATAAATTTGGATATCAGAAATAATAACCAAACAGCAAAATGTTTACATTTTCATTAGGAATTTTCTAAATGTAAAAATCTAAATTTTAATTAAAAATTTCTCTAAATTTAGATTTATTTTTTTCAAAATTCTGAATTTTAAATATTCTCGGAAATATAGCAATTTTGTAATAGAAGTCAACAACCTACATTTCAACTTTGAAAATCTCAAATTCAGATCTCTCTCAAACAAGATAGTGTATAATTTGTATTTATTTAATTTGGAGACCTTAATGCATACACCATCCTAAGCAAAAGAAATATAAACATGCTGCATGTTAAACTATATTAAGAAAAAAGTGAGCACTCAATTTAACATGTTTATCAGACTGACTCGATATGATTAACAGTATTCCAACTAACCTGGCTGCAAGACATACAAAGAGCTGGAATTTATCATCTTTGCCCAGGTGAGAGGAAGAGGCATTGATACGAGCCACCAGAGAGACAAATTCAGCCATACTTCCTAGTCCGTGATCACGATCTCTTGCAATACCAGTCAACTGTTCTCGTTCCATTTCTTCACGTACAACAACCTCAAAATGCTGCTGTACTCTCTCTGTGGATTTTGATAATACATGTATATGGCCTTTTTTTTTTTCAACAAGTCGGCCGTCTCCCACCGAGGCAGGGTGACCCAAAAAAAAGAAAGAAAATCCCCAAAAAGAAAATACTTTCATCATCATTCAACACACTCGCACATTATCACCTTGTATGTACCTAAATTATAATTTTTAATTATGTTCATTAATGCCACCTTTTGACATACTGATATTTTTGTTATGCATTTCATTCCTGCTTTTAACTAAATTTATATTCCTCATTATCTTTGTCAAATGATCTGTGTACATCAAGTTACAAATGCACTAAGTTATAAACATCTTTATTTATTGTGTATTTGTATTCATGGTTTTTATTTCTTCAAATGTACTAATTTTTAGTATATGTATGTTACAATTTGGTAATTAAATGTGGCTCTAATTTTTATGAAGTTGACATTATGACAGGCCCAGCTGATACTGCCTCTGACATTTCTGTATTAATATTTTTTCTGTGTTTGCAATATCAAATGGTATATGTATGATGTAGGTGGAGAAAGTTCCTATATGCTTGGTACAATTTAGTAAGGAAATGTAGCTTTTATTTTTACATATCAAATATCAGCTGATAAACTTTGCTGAATACAATTCTGTTCAGTAGACCGACATTAACCCTTGCCATGTTCTTCAAATGTTCAGAGTAATTTAGAATGTGAGGTAGGTCATAGTGTAGTAAGTTTTTACCTTGCAGAATAGTTAAATTTGATGAGTAATTTTGGAGGTGCCTGGAATGTACGGTAATCTATTTTTCCCATGTATTCTTCACATCACATAAGGTACTAATTTTCAGAAATTTAACCCCCTGCATTGAGAGAGGCTTTACTGCATACCTAATTGCACACTAGGTACATATACATATACTGATATATCAAAATTAAATTTTTTAAAACCACAGTCTAAAGCACAGTACAACACTGATTAAAGCAAAAGCCAAAATAATCACCAAAATAGTCCCAGAGATAGAGGTTCTTGCCAAAGAATCTTGTGGATTTGAACCCATAGGAGAAGACTTGCTCAAGACAACAGACAAGACCAAAGTCTCCACACAGAAGAAGTGTCAGACTGCCACGTTCCTTCTCTGGCTTGTAGAAATACTTCACTAAACTATTGACAGAGTCACCTGAAAAAAAAAATCTATCATAATGCACACGACTAATTTCTTGTCGTACAATGATACCGGAGTAAAATTTAAAAAAAAAAATGTACATGAACTGTAACTCTTATTACCTAGTCATTTGCCAGTCTTGTACTCATTAGTATTTTTTAAATTCATTACTTCAAGTTATGTCATGTGACATACATGAATAGTGAAGGAAATATTGCTTGAATATAATTGGCAGAAATTTGGTAGATAGCTTTTCAAGCTGATGCAAAATAACTGCATTATTACCTCTACATAATGAAAGATATTTATGAATCATTGCAAAAACGTAAACTTCTGAACCAATAAAAAATGACACACATTGTACAAATACTTAAAAAGATAAAAGAGAAAATTTTTTTGAACTACTGAACAGGTACAGTGGTACCTTAACTTACGAGTTTTCTGAATTATACTAGCCGTCACTCGGTCAATTTTTTGCTTTAAGTTTTGAGTTATGAGGGAGCTTCAGATATGCCACCACTAGTTGGCGCAGTAAATGCTACAGCATTTGTCCAGTGTTTTGCGCAGTTATTTTGCCAAATTTCTTTTTTCTAGTCATGGGTCCTAAGAAAGTAAGTGCAAAGGACAGTGCTGAGAAGAGGAGGAGGATGCTGTCCATTGAATTAAAAGCATGAAATCATAGAAAAACAAGAGAAAATTGCTTTTGTTTAAGTGCATTCCTTATGCAACTAGTGATCTAGTGCAGTTAGCCTCACAAATACTCTGTTTTCTCTTATAATAAGACCTTAGAAGGGCAAGAATGGGAAGATTTGGTCAGAGCGATAATTATTTTTACCTTGGGAGTGGCCGACACCACTCGTCACATAATGACATATTTTATTCATTCTAGAGTACATATCATGTTTCTATGTTATTTATATAGTTTATTATGTCATATTAGATCAATTGTGATAAATAAATAAGCCATAGAGTTGATATCAGCATTATATTGAAGTATTTTCTCCTGCCTCCCGTGAGCCGGGAATTCCGCTGAAACGGATTAATGGCATTTCAGTTAACTTCAATGAGGAAAATTGATCTGATATACGGGCAAATTGAGTTACGAGCTTGGTCACAAAACGAATTAAACTTGTAAGTCAAGGTACCACTGTATATTACTGTAAACATACGGGAAAAATCGTTAAAAAGTAGATAAAACACTTGGACCAAAAACTCATTAACTAGCAAACAGTTCTGATAAAACACTTGGACCAAAATCTCATTAACTAGCAAACAGTTCTGTTTTCTTATCTGCAAAATCCTTTTTATCAAATCAGTTATGCTGCTATAAGTCACAGACATTATTCAGGAAATGGATGATTAGACTACATTTACTGTAAATGTCATTAAACAGTATTGACCACCTCAGTTTTTTATGCCAAAAAGTCTGATTTAGGACCATACCCACTTCATAGGTCAACACTAAACAAGCCGAAGTCTGAGTGAACACCACTAAATGATTAGTTGTTTCCACAATTGACTGTTTTGCTTCAGAAGCCATATCCCTCAAAATATTGCTCTAGTTTTGTTAATACAGTAAGCTCTCTTAAGAAGTGTGAATTTTTTTTTTTTTAAATATAACTGAATAGCAGATGGAAAGACCTTCACAATGTTCAATTTTGAATTAACTTTTTTACATGAATTTACAAAAAGAGCTTACTATATCAACATTTATAAGAAATTTCAAGAAAGAAGAGAAATTTGGGCAGGTTACAGCCAAAAGATCTCGCATCAATTCTCTGGCTGGGTAAGACTTGTGGAAAACTCACCCCTCAAGGGAGGTTCCTTGACTTTGGTGAGGAACTCTTGATCTAGGGAATTGGATCTGTGCTCCAGCTCCCTGAATTAAGCCTGAATGCCTTTCACATCCCCCCCCCCCCACAGGTGCTGTATAATCCTATGGGTTAAGTGCTCTTCCATGATTATAATATGGAAAACTCTCCTACCATCAACTGCCCATGTTCACCTAGTACAGTGGACCCCCGGTTTACGATCAGCTCCCAATGCGACCAATTATGTAAGTGTAGTTATGTAAGTGCATTTGTATGTGTATGTTTGGGGGTCTGAAATGGACTAATCTAATTCACAATATTCCTTATGGGAACAAATTCGGTCAGTACTGGCACCTGAACATACTTCTGGAATGAGATAATATCATAAACCGGGGGTCCACTGTAATAGATATATAGATTTTAGTTGACTATTGTGGATCTTGAATGACAATAGTATACATGAATCTCAGATAGGACTGTACTCTGAAATTAGCTGAAGTAAGATAATACTTCATAGCCTGTAAATTCAACTGCAAAAGCAAGGATATTTTATTATATCCTTGCTTACAAAAGTACTCTTCCAATTTGTGAAGGTAACAATATTCATGGTTATGAGCTCTAATCCAACTAACACAATATTCAGACAAAGATGTTCAAGAAGTTTGAAGATCTTCAATGGGCAGGAATGATATACAAGTATATGACTTACCAAAATGTGAACACACCTTTTAGGTATTAAAAATTTAATGTAGGTGTTATTTCATAACCTAAGACTACATCATACCAAGGTGCTGCTGTATGTCAGGAACTGTAAGTCTCAAGTCAGAACGTCTTGGACCAGGAACATTTGGGGACCTGCATCGAGGTGGCGTTCGGCAGGATTCTACCAAATCATCAGAGGTAACATGGGACGGAACCAATTCACCAACAAGAATCCGTTCAAGTGACCCATCATCTATTCCACGGCCAAGCCAACGTCCACAGGGAAACCTGATGAAAATTAGAAAAACACTTGATATTTAACAGGCAATTAATATCTGAATTTACAACTTTCTTGTGAACATAGTAATAATAATAACAGGCAATTAAAAAATGGGTAATTATAATGTACAGCTCATCAAAATCTATTGCATGTACAATATCCAGAATAAACATTTACATTATCTATGATGCTTGTAACCTGTCCTCCTGACACCAATGTCAGTCTTATACTGTATATGATAAAAAAAACAATTTTTCTACATACACTGTTTAGGTACAGGTAGTTTAACATCAATAAAACATGTATAACTCGTATGAATTTAGTGCTATTTTATATAATAACAGCAATTAACCAATTTTAACATGCATTACTACCAAAATCTGAAAGAACATGCACAGGCAAGTCAACTAAAAGAAAATCCCAAAGTTCATATTTTAGTGTTACAGTAGCTTCACTGACTGACTTTGGCTGCAACAACATACTGATGTTTGATTAAGAGGACATGGTGGATACCTGGGACTTGTTACAAAAACTCTGGTCTAGGGCCAGGCTTCCATGTTAAATATCTAATTAACCAGGCTGTTGCAGGCAACAACAGCCATCACAATCTGGGTATTCTGGTACCTATTGCAGGAACTGGTTCATCTTCCTCCTGAAGACTACTTCTCTTGTTGCAACATTTCTTATTTCTGCCAGAATGAAAATGAAAAAATTGCAAACTCTTGCTACTGTTCACTAACTGTGCCTAAGGCACTCCTGCTTTTCAGTGGGTTAATTCTACAATTCCTCTTGTATCTCTCAAACCATCAAAGTTGTTATAATTATGCGAAAACTGGGATCATACCCTAAAGTATTTTCCATGTACAGTATATATGCACTGAAGATATAAACTATCTAAATCTTCCATCGCTAGTACCTTTCCTGCCTTAAATGGAGCTGTAAGCAAAGAACAATAGCCAATTTTTACCAATGAATAAACAAAATCATAGCTGACTGATAGAAATTTGATAAAGGACAACTAATAAGTCTCCATTAAAACAGAAACTGAACATAAAAAATTGGAAAATGAAGTGCACATGCCATGTGCCCACATAACCCCCTCTTCTGCATTTCCATCCCTGATTAAATCAATTTGGTGATTTACTGCAAAAGAAAATAAACAGAACATTGTATTTAGGTATATCCATACAGAACTGCAGAGAATAAATAAGTTCAGAAACAAACGAACTGATGCTATACAAGTACTCACTTTTTCAACTCTGTATAAGTTATCCGTGAAATAAACATGTACAGGTCTCCCTCAACATTCACGTTTTCAACTTTCACAGGCTTCACACATTCGCGAATTCCCAACCACCAAATCATATTTAAGTTTCCCGCCACCTGCGAGTCCCTACTACCCTCCCTCCGACGCCCGCAACTGGCAGCCAGCCCTCCCACCACTCAGTGTGGTGAGTGTTTTGTTTGTTCATTATTTGCTATTAAACTACAGTATAAATAATGTAAACCCATTCATGACTGCATATTGGAATGGCTATTCGGACAGGTATTAGACGGTGACATCATGTGTTTACTCTTGAACACTGCAAAGAATTAAACATTTCTGCTACAGCTAATAATAACAATAGTAATAATAATAATAATAATAAATATGATATAAATGAAGAAGGAAATTGTACAAAAATACGAGGGAGTGGTTGACACATCGTCAGTGTGACTTTGTTTATGCTGGAGTGAACATTAGTCTCCCTGCTCTTCCAAACATTTCACAATAATTCATTGTGTTTGGTGCTTGTAGATTGAGTGTGACTGGAGTGGTAGAGGCAGTGATTGAGGCAATGGTATTTAATAACATACATGTTAATAATAATACATGTTATTAATAATATGTACTATTATTATTTATAACATATATGTTATTAAATACATACATGTTAATAATAATACATGTTATTAATAATAACATGTACTATTATTATTTATAACATATATGTTATTAAATACCACTGCCTCAACCGCTGAATTATTGTGAAATGTTTGGAAGAGCAGGGAGACTAATGTTCACTCCAGCATAAACAAAGTCACACTGACGATGTGTCAACCACTCCCTCGTATTTTTGAACAATTTCCTTCTTCAATTATATCGTATTTATTATTATTATTATTATTATTATTATTACTATTGTTATTATTAGCAATAGCAGAAATGTTCGATTCTTTGCTGTGTTCAAGAGTAAACACATGATGTCACCGTCTATTACCTTTCCTAATAGCCATTCCAATATACAGTCATGAATGGGTTTACATTATTTATTCTGTAGTTTAATAGCAAATAATGAACAAACAAAACACTCACCACACTGAGTGGTGGGAGGGCTGGCTGCCAGTTGCGGGGGTCGGAGGGAGGGTAGTAGGGACTCGCAGTGGTGGAGGCAGTGGTGGAGTCTGTGGTATTTAATAACATACATGTTATTAACATACATGTTATTAAATAACATATGTTATTAAAGCATAACATGTATATATTTAGTACAATTTACGACGTTTTCATGTATTTTATGATTATTCATGGTTCAACATGTTAAGGAAGCAGTATTGTAATATATTTCCCTACAATATATTGGGGCACCAAACATTCACGGTTTTTCAACATTTGCGAGGCTCTTGATCCCCTAACCCTCGCGAATGTTGAGGGAGACCTGTATTCTTATGTCCTAAAGACCAGGCCCTTATGATGTGCAACTTACTTCCAGGTGTGTCCAGTGACTTCATTTCTGACTAGTACATGCTCCACCATCCACTTTGGAGACATACCGGTGTTGTCATGACCAATTCGTAATGTTGTCAGTAAGCCTAGATTTTTGTGCTGCAAAAATAAAATTTTATTCAAATAATAACAAATAATAATAGTGAAGGGTGACCCAAAAAATGTCAACACATTAACCATCATTCATTCAACAGCTGTTTTGTCTGCAGTGCATGGAGACTACAATTTCAATTACCCTCTGAACTGCAACATTCCCACTCCCTCAGAATGCAGGCACTGTACTTTCTACCTCCAGGTTAATACCAGTTGTTTACACTTTGATCTGACACACTCACACAGAGTAAAAAGAGACATACGTGTATAAAAAAAAAAATGTATATAATTAAAGGAAACCTTTGCTAACATGATGTTTCACCTACTTAAGGCTTTACCAAGTATCATGTAGGCATAATGTTGTACGAATAAGGGTTTCCTTTTGCTCTATCTTTCTTTACCACTTGAGAATACACCATATTTCAACTACACTCACACCAGCATGCTGGATGCTCAAGCCCCTTGCACCCTAAACTTCCTCTATCCCCTCAGTCCAACCTTTCCTGATGCACTATAACTGTGTGATATAAATTCGTTTTTGTGTGATCAGTGGTTCACAAAATGTAAGGAAAATGGCTAAAATGAAAAAAGAAAGTGTTGATCTAACTGAAATTACTACAGTTGCCAAGGGCCTGTAATACGTCTATTACATAAATATAGGGACAGCATTATTATGATTTTTTCCAACAAGTAAAATGACCTCTTAAAGGTGTATTGTAAACAAACATCAGCAATTCTACCTGAAATACAAGTTCCACTTGACTTCTTGGTACGGGTATGTTAGAGGTCTGACCAAGGGTGCCACCGAGACTGACCCAGGCATTTGCTGAGGTACTGGCTCCACTCAGTTTACGTGAAGGAAAGATCACCACTCTATATGGCACAACTGAAATAAAAGAGAAAAATAAATTCACTTCGATTCATTCAATCACGGACTTGCCAGAGGTGTTCTGACATCACAGTGCAGATGGCCCTCCGAACTGAAACAGTCTCACTCCTAATTGAGGGTGCAATCACTGTACGTCCTACCTGCTGGACTCTAGTTCAGCTAACCAGCTTTCCCTGCATCCCTTCATATTCCAACAGCATGACAAGTCACCAAGACCACTTTCTCCACTCACTCCAATATAACATGCTCACACAAGCCCATTGGATGTTCAAGCCCTTAGCACTCAAAACCTCTTGTGGCCTTCCCTAGGATGACTCCTTCCCCTCTTTACCTCCACCCTAGATTTATGTACCTTCCTAGTCATCTTATTTCGCTCCCTTTTCTCTAAATGCCCAAACTGTCTCAACAACTCTTTCTCAGCCCACTGAATAATCATCTCCAAACTCTGAATTCTCTGCATAATATTCACACTGCACACTGCCCTTCAAACACAACATCTCCAATGCCTCCAGTAGGCCTCTCATCCTCACTACAACATTTAAAACCCATGCTTCACACCCATATAACAGTACTGGTACCTCTATACTCTGGTGCATTTTCCTTTTTCTTTGCCTTCACTGCACCACCACAACACAGAGTTGTCAATTTTTCATTCTAGAGGAAATAAAATATAGATGATTGGTAGAAACTTGACAAACAGCAACTAATAAGCAACTCCATTACTAGAGAAATTGAACATAATAAAAAACTGGAAAGAGAGAGAGGGTACACACTGAGTAAACACGTACCTCCCTCCCCCTCCATTTTCAATCCTGTTTCTAGATAATCTCTTCTGTATACAGAACTATCAAAGTTAGATTTATATTGATAATGGTATAAAATACTGACAAGTTGATGATTAAGACACATGTGCAACAGTTGGATATCTTTATTGTTGAAATGTTTTGCCTACACAGTAGGCTTCTTTGGTCAAATACAGAGGCAGCAGGTATAGTAGTGAAATGAAGATGATGTAATCAGTCCATCAACCTTGGAGAAAAAGTATTTGAGGTGGTCAGTCCCTGAGCCTGGAGAAGAGTTCAGTTCTAAGGAGCTGAACTCTCCTCCAGGCTGAGGCAATGATCACTTCAATACTTTTTCAACAAGACTGATGGACCTAGTACATCATCTTCATTTCGCTACAACTGCTGCCTCTGTATTTGACTGAAGAAGCCTACTGTGTAGGCAAAACATTTCAACAATAAAGATTCCTAAATCTTACACATGTGTCTTAATCATCAAAGTTAGATTTATTTCCAGTGTCACATTTATGACATTAAGAAAATAAAGCTGTTCATCATACAACAGGATTATGTTGATACATCAGATACTGTATAACCTTTATAGTATGTATAGAGGTTCTCTTTGAATACATTATAATACTTGACAGATTCTATTCAAAGTGTATTCCATCACCTTGTTCCTGACAAAAAAGAAAGTTACCTATGATATTAAATGCAAAGAAGAAATAACACCATAGATTAACAAATAAAATTTTTTTGGTACAGTATATATGTATGTATTTGTGTGTATACATACATACAAGGTTGGAATTTTACACATTAATGATTTAAAATCATGCAGTCAAAATTGAGCAGTTACTGAACACTTACTTGTGGAGGTGTAAGTGCTTGTGAAACAGAAATAATCTACAGCATTCAGGGAGAGCAAATAAGATAGGAACTGCTCCTTTTCATCATCACAACGAAGGAAGGCATAGCGCTTGTACAAACTACGTAGCAGCTCTGAATCGCCCAACAGAGTAGTTAAGTGTTTCGAGAGGACCTTCTTTTCTAGCGAGAGTCGCACCCAGGCTCGTGCATACCCAATGTGTGTCTTGATTTCAGTCATTGCCAGCACATTTCTCATGTCAAAAGTAATTGATATAGGGAGTGGACGCAAGGTAGGAATACCAGGATCAGACGGACGAGATCGGCGATCAATGCTACGGTCGCTAGGCCACCGTTCTTGCAAAGATTTTTTTCGTAAACTATTTGTGTTGCTTGGTGACTTTGTGGGTGAGGCAGGTGCACTCTCAGTCTCAAGAGCCATTGTTGATAAGTCTAAGAATAAGAAAAATATATTACGTAAGTTTAAAAAAATTATATATATAACCAGAACAATTATTTTTTCAATAAAGTGTCTTATGTGAAAATTATATTTTTAATACATAACATTGCCAAGAAAACCATCCTTCCCGTTTAAGTCAGAAAGAGGAAGTTATGAATTATGTAAAAAATAAAGATAAACCAACGAAATGAAAATCCCAAGCATTAGCTGTATAATTATATTTATATCATCCGCAAAGATAATTTTGTGGATGTCATACATTATATAAATGCCACAGTTTAGACCATAAACAAGCAGTATGGCATAATTTCCATACATAAAACAGTGGTCAGGAAAAATACTACAGATGATTAAACAAAATTACCAAAGCCACTTACCAAAATTATTTGCTAATTGTGAAGCCAGATACCCAAGAGCACTAATGTTACCCGTTTTAATGGACAAGACAATCTCCGACAATGGTGACAAACTGCTAATCTTTGGTGAGGTGCTCTGAGGAACTGAAAAATAATTGTGAACCCTTCTCAGTGTGATTTATAACTGCAGCACTGCCAGCCTTGTTATGTTAACGGAACTACAGACACTGACATATTTTGTAAAGTTAAAGAGATCAGTTGTTAGTACTTATTAGTTAATGAAATTCTTATTTCAGTGCAACAGCTACAAGTCACAAAAGAGGAACCTAGTGAAGAGTACACATTAAGAGAGAAGGTAAGAGGGTTTTACCATAAGCCATTACAATATGCTCCCAATGAACTGACCTCCAAAGACTCCACAAAGAAGCAAAAAACTACACTGCAACTGTCTTTTCCATTAAGAATAAACTAGCACTATAAGTGGTCGAAGTTGTCTGGAAAAGCAGAGAATATGCAGTGATTACCACAAAAGACGCTACATGTCAACAGACATCATAGGCTTATTTTACAAACATGCACAGACTTATGTAAAAGCAAGGTACATACAAAGGAATTTAATTTCTAAAACTTAGTTTAGATGCAAAAGAAAATTATTGCCCTTACCCGGTAAGAAAAAATAAAAGAATTATCGTCGAGCAGGTATCTCATGCACACTACGAAGAAAGTTACCACACAGTATGTACCATATTGTGTAATCAACTGGTATTTATCATTCAGAAAATGCTAATGTCCTACAGCCACTTCATGTTTTTTTTACTTTTTTGAAGATGTATCAGAAAAACTACTTCAGGACTTCATCTTTGATACTTTTATACATATACATTATCACAACCGATACAACAATAGTATGCAATGTAAGTAATAAGAATGAGTGCATCCCTGGAGGATGACTGGAAAGAATGAGCAAACAGAGTAAGAGAGGGACTACAGAATTTAATGAGGATAAGCATCATGTAACAGAAACAGGAAAAAATAAAAACAGGTTACACAAAGACTGTGTAATAAAGTACAGTATTAAAAGCAACAGAGAGAAAGATTATAATCAAGATTACATAAATGAAACAGTGAGAAACTCTAAGGTGGTACAATGAAATAAATGAATGAGAAAATATTGGAAATACTCTTCACAGCATATATTACAGCAAAATTGTAATATACAATTGTGAGACAACTCCAACACCTAAAAAAAAAACCATATAGACAAGTTGGAAAAAGTCCAAATAGCTGCAAAATTCATCTCAGAGCTAAAATATATGAGTTACAAAGAAATTGGTAAATCACTGGATATGCGATCTTTGGCTGCACGAAAAAGAGGAAACATAACCATATTTTAAAATTATTAAAGGATAAAAAAATTGACAGTGAAGACTTTAAAAGTCAATCACTAACAAAACTAGAAGCCATAGCTACAAAGAATTGCCCCAACAATGCAAGAAATTTTTCCTCTCAATGGTAGAATAATGGAATAATTTACAAGACAAGGTAGTAAAGATTGCAAACAACTGGAAAATTAAGAAAACTTTATGATGGGCTAAATCCTGAAGGTGGGAATCACAGACTTAGCTGTGTTCCTGTATCTACTATACAGTGTGTGATCAGATTTCTGATACAATAAATTTAAGACAATTAAGGTACAAATTAATCCACCAAAAACAATAATTAGAAACAAACAAAAGCAACTACTAAAACCAAGTACAGGTCTTCCTCAACATTTCCGTTTTCCACTTTCGTGGGATTCAAACATTCGCGAATTCCCAGCCGCCCAATCATCTTTAAAATATGTCATTACATATGTTAAGAATTGTGGTGGTGGCAGAATTTGTTTGGAGACAAGACAAGACAGTCCTTAAATATGACACTAATATCAACTCTACAGCTTATTTATCTATCACAATTCATCTAAGATGACATAATAAACAATACTAATAACATAGAAACATAACATATACTCTAGAATGAATAAAATACGTCATTAAGTATGTCACGGGTGTTGCTGTGTTGTTGTTGGGTGTATAAGGGCCACTGGTGGAGGCGGCATCAGAGGTGGAAGAGACTAGAGACGGCAGTGTTGACAGTTGCCCTATATAACTCCAACAACATTGGAGGAGTTAGGTTTGTGCTGTCCTTTTTCTATCGATTAATCGCTTAACTTACTTGCTACATTGTTAATGCGATACTTTATCGCTGGTTGGCGCTACAGCCTTTATCGACTTATGCTGCTTTAGTATCGTATATATCGTAGAATCACTGAAGGCAGCACATTCTCCCCTCTCTCTTCCTCCTCCACTTTAGTACTCTGCTACGACTTTTTTCTTGAATTCTATAGTTTTTCTCGTCTTTACCAGTACAAATATTTTGTGATGTTTTCATGTGTTTTATGATTGCTCATGGTTGAATAGGTTAAGGAAGCAGTATTGTATTATATTTCCTTACAATATACTGGGGCACCAAACATTCATGATTTTTCAACATTAGCAAAGTTCTTGATCCCCTGACCCTGGCGAATGTTGAGGGAGACTTGCATTATTAGTAATGAAATATTACACTACAGGGTAATTAAAACATTTCTGATCCAATAAGAATCTGAGGATATATAAGAAGCATAATGGAGAGAAACCCAAAAATATAGAGAAATCCTTCATACTAGGTGATGAAATTCTGTAATAAGTACTGCACTGCAGTATGAATAATTTTCCCGTGCAGAATAAAATGCACATTACTGTGGCTGAAACAATTTACAACAAACTCTCAAAAAGACTAATCTGTTATCTACATCAATCTCTAGACAGCAACACTGCACTAATATATCAGACAAAGAAGCAAAATGAATTAAGATAATACAATGGTTTATTCATGCAGACTCAACAAAAACTATGGGTCACTGAAGTAACAAAATACAACGTACAGTCAATACGTTTCCTGAGAATACACCAAGCCATGGCTGCTTGATTAAGAGAGAAGGTAAGTGTTAGTTTGATACTCTAAAGAAACAGATTTTAAAATACACATGAATATATCATGGATGAAATAAGGAATATAGTTTCCTACTTAAAGCATCCAAATGTTCCTCTCTTTATGTGAATTCACATAAAACAAAATACGTATAACACATAAAATGTTGGGATTCATTCTGAGACTTTCTTGAATAATGTTTGCACAAAATATATGAACTTACCACACATGTATTAAACGGTACGTGTCTCGGTAAAAAAAATTTTCTTAATTTTTACGAAAAAATTACACGTACAGCACACCAGAGAGGCACCAAATGGCCATATACCTAAAATAAATGCTAATGGTCATAAAACAAATGGAAAAAAATTTAATTTAAAAATTCAATTATAATCCTCCTCTCTCTCCCCACCAACCAACCAGCTTGCCTATCTTCGTCTGGACTCAAAGTGCACACATTATGATCCTATAAACACACATTTCACTACTATTCTCCTTCCTTGCTCCATCCCTGGTCCCAACTTTATCTAGCCTGGTGTACATTTTCTTTCTGAATTGACCCAAGACACTCTAATTGAAAACCAACCATAGAATTTTGTTCAAAATATGCTCACTGAATTTCCCAAGCCCAACTATTTCTTCTTGTATAAAATGTTAATATAAACCAGTTTAGAGTGATATTAAGTGGTGCTGGCCTCTGGTGATCACGGAACAGTGAATTTATATCCCACATAACAAACTGAGAAGCAGTGCGTTCAACGTGGTATGGCCGCTGAATGATGGTACGTAAAAGTGTTTCTTTCTTTTTTAGGTCACCTGCCTCAGTGGGAGACAGCTGACATGTTGAAAAAATAAAATAAACTGGTGGTAGACAGAGTGATCACATGAATTTACATGAAGCAAAACCACATAAAGAGAGGGACACCATCTATGTATGTATTTTACATAATTATTCTGTGTCCTGCATCTGAAGCAAGGTGACACATGAAGGCTGTTGAATCCCAGATATTTGCATTATTACTTCTAAGTCTCCGAATTTCAAAAATATAATACCTGGTCTCTAAACATTTACGTAATTTAAACCTGCATGCAAGCCTGACCATAATGAATGGCAAACTTGCAAACAGCTTTTATTATTTAAGAAATCAGGAGGAATGAGATTTAGCTTAATCAGTTTGAATATAAAGTATAAGAGAAGCAAGATAAAGGCCAAGAAGAGTATATCAAGGTCATAAGAAGGAAAAATACAATTTATTTAAAGGATAACAGTGAGTTAGCAGCGAAGGACAGACTGGTAGCAGAAGGTAGGGAAGGGATGGGGGTATCATGAGTATAACATACAAGAAACACAGAGGAGAATGGACAGTTCCTGTACTTCTCCATATAACACATACATTTCAACTTCAACAGGTACAATACATAAATCATAAGTCTACAAACTGGCCAATTACACAGTTTGTGTACACATCCAGTAAAAGTACAGGACAGGCACAACAACCACAGAAAGAAATCACTGATGGCTTCCATTGATCCTATATGCAAAAAATTCTTCTGAGTCTATAGGTTTACCTGATGCCAAGAGAAACAAATTTGATTCATAACAATGCAGCCATATGGTACAAGCAGGCTATTGCTTGAGCACCATGTTAATGATTTGTTATCCAACCATTCATGTTATTATAAGCAAAAGCAACACTGCATACAGTGTATCTGGTGTCCCCTTGTACAGGTGGGAATGGTGTACAAGAGACATATCAATACCTGGTGTGTATGTGTGGGAGGAGAAATATTAAATAAGAGAACATTCCGATTGGAAAATGGCTTCGAGCTGACGAGTGGCTGAAAAAGATGCTTATGGCAAAAGAAGACCTTTAATTACCATATTATGATGTTTCACTTACAAGAGGTGAAACGTGTCTTCTTGAAACAAAAAATCCCGACTAGAGATTTAACAAAACTGGAAGACTAAGAGAGAGAGAGAAAGGGACTACATTACCAAGTGGAATTATCATAATGAATTAGTGGAGAAAAACTCTATACAAGATTTTAAGAGTATTTATGACAGGGCTAAAAAAAATAAGAGACTGTATCAATGTTTAAGCCTACTGTATATATTACTGCTCTTTGAACATATGAACATAAGTAGAGCCCATACTGCTGCATGGGCTTAATGTGATAAAATAAGTGCTAAAGTGAGCATGCTTTGTGAAGCCAAGTACGAGTGTTAAAAATGAGGTGTGCTTATGTCGTGTAGCAATGACAAAATTCAATCATATTTCTTCTTCTTTCTTTCAATGTACCAGCCGTATCCCACTGAGGTGGGGTGGCCCAAAAGAAAAAACTAAAGTTTCTCCTTTTAAATTTAATAATATATACAGGAGAAGGGGTTACTAGCCCCTTGCTCCTGGCATTTTAGTCGCCTCTTACGACACGCATGGCTTACAGAGGAAGAATTCTGTTCCACTACCCCATGGAGATAAGAGGAAATAAACAAGAACAAGAATTAGAAAGAAAATAGAAGAAAACCCAGAGGGGTGTGTATATATATGCTTGTACACGTATGTGTAGTGTGACCTAAGTGTAAGTAGAAGTAGCAAGACGTACCTGTAATCTTGCATATTTATGAGACAGACAAAAGACACCAGCAATCCTACCATCATGTAAAACAATTACAGGCTTTCGTTTCACACTCACTTGGCAGGACGGTAGTACCTCCCTGGGCGGTTGCTGTCTACCAACCTACTACCTACTCAATCATATTTATGAAGTAATTATTACCAATATTTTCCCTCATACTATTACCTAACACATGATCTACATATACTTTATAAGAGGATAAGAATGACAAGTACTGGTGAGTACTATTCTTTATCTGATTTGTACTGCAATGTTTTGTCTAGGGATTTTTCCCTTTAATTTTCTGGATAGATAGAGGCCATGTTGTAGGGCACCTGCAGGAATATTAGGCACCTTGCCTAGCTGTCAATGATATTCTTGCTCTATTGCCCAAAAAGTACTCAAGTTACTTCTCATGTGAATCTTACCCCTCATTTGTGGAGACTTCCTCCTCCAAAGGTCTCCTTTATACTCTCTGAATCTTGGACTGCTTTGTACAGCCTGTTTCATTGGTTATGATACTTAGCATGAATAAAGCACACATATGCCACTCTGCTTAAGAAAGTTGAGACCACTGTGCACAGTGACAATCACTGATATAACTAGATGTCAAATAACCTACGGAACGGGTGGGGTTTGAAACCATGACAACTGAGTCGTAAAACTCCAGGCCAGTGCATAACCCACTTGGCCAGCTGGCTACAATAAGATGTCAAGTGTTATGTTTATGAGTATGCCTATAAATATCTAGACATACATTATAATAATATTCATGGAGTAATGCTAAACCAGTAAGGGTCATACAGTGCCTGGAAAATGGGAGGTAATCTGTTTTGATCTGAGGAAAGAAAGGGTACCTCCAATTTCTCAAATTGAGAGCTCTTCATTAGCATCCGGCACCTCAACTGAATGGCATCCTGACACCAAAAAAAATAAAATAGCTTTTATCTCTAAGTACCTGCACATAGTTGCAAAGTCAGATTTCTTTACAAGAGTTACATATAAAAAATGTAGTATACAACTGCAACAATAATATGATAAGCAATGTTCAAAATGATACACTGTAGCTCAACAGCAGAGCACTGAGGTTATGACTGAAGGGACATAGATTCAATTCCTGGGCAAGGGAAGACCTATGAGAGTATCCTTACATCCGCTGTCCCCTGCTCACTTAGTAAACAGGAACCTGGGAGTTAGTCTGCTGTTGTAGGTCACATCCTAGAGAGGGCCTCAATGGCAATAAATCATATTACAGTATGAGCTTTTGCTGGGTTATCCTAGGTTAAATCACCTTTAGCACACAGTACAATGGAAGATAGATGTCACCTAGCACAGAACAACCATCTAAGCAATGACATCTAGACCCATGCTCCAGGTGCATGAGTCCAGAGCTGAGGTGTCAAGAACAATATAGAATCAATAAAATTAGCAGAGAAATGACAATGTATGAAATACTGAGAAGACTGAAAGCATCACAGTTCATCAAATTAAATAAAAGGAGAATCAAGTACCATAATAAAAACAGAGATGTTCTGAAAGGTTTTCAAATATAAAAAGTTAATACTGTGGAAGTTCTACACATGTAAGCACTAAATTACTGACCTGGTGAGAGAAAGTTAGGGTTGACAGGTTTGGAAGAGTCATTACACTCCTCTAACTCCTGGAAGTTGAGCAAGTGAGACCACAATGCTGATTTGCCCTGTGTGACAAAACATAACCTTACAAAACATTTTTTATTAAATTACTGTTATTAACAAGAAACATTTTAGGTAGTAGGTTGGTAGACAGCAACCGCCCAGGGAGGTACTACCGTCCTGCCAAGTGAGTGTAAAACGAAAGCCTGTAATTGTTTTACATGATGGTAGGATTGCTGGTGTCCTTTTTTCTGTCTCATTAACATGCAAGATTTCAGGTACATCTTGCTACTTCTACTTACACTTAGGTCACACTACACATACATGTACAGTGGACCCCCGCTTAACGATCACCTCCAAATGCGACCAATTATGTAAGTGTATTTATGTAAGTGCGTTTGTACGTGTATGTTTGGGGGTCTGAAATGGACTAATCTACTTCACAATATTCCTTATGGGAAAAAATTCGGTCAGTACTGGCACCTGAACATACTACTGGAATGAAAAAAGTTCGTTAACCGGGGGTCCACTGTACAAGCATATATATACACACCCCTCTGGGTTTTCTTCTATTTTCTTTCTAGTTCTTATTCTTGTTTATTTCCTCTTATCTTCATGGGGAAGTGGAACAGAATTCTTCCTCCGTAAGCCATGCGTGTTTTAAGAGGCGACTAAAATGCCAGGAGCAAGGGGCTAGTAACCTCTTCTCCTGTATATATTACTAAATGTAAAAGGAGAAACTTTCGTTTTTCCTTTTGGGCCACCCCGCCTCGGTGGGATACGGCCGGTGTGTTGAAAGAAAGAAAGAACTGTACTACAAAATACATCACCAATGAACCCACTGGAGACAATTCTTCTTTCAACAAATTGGCCATATCCCACCAAAGCAGGGTGGTTCAAAAAGAAAAACAAAAGTTTCTCTTTAACTTTAGTAATGTATACAGAAGGAGTTGCTAGCCCCTTGCTCCCAGCATGTTAGTCTCCTCTTATGACACGCATAGCTTAAAGAGGAAGAATTCTGTTCCACTTCCCCATGGAGATAAGAGGAAATAGACAAGAACAAGAACTAGTAAGAAAATAGAAGAAAACCTAGAGGAGTGTGTATATATATGCTTGTAAATGCATGTGTAGTGTGACCTAAGTATAAGTAGAAGTAATAAGACATACTTGAAATCTTGCATGTTTATGAGACAGAAAAAGACACTAGCAATCCTACTATCATGTAAAACAATTACAGGCTTCCGTTTTACACTCACTTGGTAGGACGGTAGTACCTCCCTGGGTGGTTGCTATCAACCTACTACCTAGAACTCGAGACAATTATCATTGTGAGGGAAAAGTTCAATAGATAGGAGTAGAGATATAGTAACGATAGTTTCATTACCGGCTACTAGTTAAGGTAGGGTAAGTCAAGCTCCCAACTTTCTTCCCCCTCCCCGAAAGTGATAGTTTCATTGCCGGCTACTAGTTAAGGTAGGGTAAGTCACGCTCCCGTTTTTCCCGCCTTTTCTCCCCCACCCCAAAAGTGATAGTTTGACTGCCGGCTGCTTGTTAACGTAGGGTCAGTCTAGCTCCCACTATCCCTTCCCCTCCCTCTTCCCCCCTTCCCCGAAAGGTGACGTGTGGGGCTCTGGTCAAACAGTAAATCACTCGATTCACAGCTCCCAACACTACTGTAAGTACATGCCTGCCTTGTATTCTAGTGGATTTATTGGTTAAAAGCTTCACTTTTGACCAATAATAAACTTAGTCCTTTCAGTCTTGCTCTAGGTTGACTGTTGTAATAATCACCACGTCTTTTGAGTATTGTACACTGCCATGGAGAGTGATTATTTAAGCAGTGGGTAACCTGTCTATCTTTTCAGCTTGGATGACAGTGAGGGTCACCTGTCAATCAACGAGAAGAACAGGAGAAGGACTAACGTCCAGAGACTTCCCCATTTTGCATTTAAGTACCTGTGTACCTGTATGAAATTGCAGGACGTAACCCCACATCATTGCAGCGGTAAAGAACCTGCTTTCCTGTCATCGGGAGAGATTACTCACTGGTATAATGTGAAGAACTAGCCAGTGGATGGTCACCAACACCTGCGACCCCCCCCACCCCATCATCAGCAACGGCTACGATTTCAACAGCAGTGTCACCAACACCAGACACTCAAGTTTTAAATTAGCGTCGAATTCAGTTATCATTTATATTTTTCATTTTTCATTTTCTTTAATGTAGGATTAATATTTCATATTTAAGTGTTTTATATTTTATATTTTCTACATAATAAAGTGTTTATGTTTGTCTGTTATTATTTCTTTTTCTATTCACTAATTTTCCTGAGGAGGAGCCAGCCTGGGTAATACTGTCTAAAGTTGTTACAGGGCTGAGTAAGCCTTCACAATCATCAATATATTACATGGGGAAGCAGTATCCACTAAAGGTCATACAGTGCCTGCAGAATGGGAGGCAATCAAGTTTGATCCAAGGAAGGGAAGGGTAGCTTCAATTTCTTAGATCAAGGTACTCTTTCCTGAAGGAACATGGAAACAATGTATCAGCATTTAGAAAGATTACAAAATGTCACCAACTTACAAGCTGCACTCAGTGTCGGGGTAGGGGTCGGCCTAGGAAAGGTTGGAGGGAGGGGGTAAAGGAGGTTCTGTGTGCGAGGGGCTTGGACTTCCAGCAAGCATACGTGACCGTATCTGATAGGAGTTAACCCTTTGAGGGTTTCGGACGTACTAGTACGGCTTACGACCCAGGGTTTTTGACGTACTAGTACGCCTAAATTCTAGCGCCCTCAAATCTAGTGGGAGAAAGCTGGTAGGCCATCATATGAAAGAATGGGTCTATGTGGTCAGTGTGCACAGTCTAAAAAAAATCCTGCAGCACACAGTGCATAATGAGAAAAAAAAAACTTTGACAATTTTTTTGGAATAAAACAGCGACTTTGCACTGTATTTTCGTATGGTATTTATTGTTGTATTCTAGTTTTCTTGGTCTCATTTTATAGAATGGAAGACATATTACAGAAATTGAGATGATTTTGACTGGTTTTACAATGAAAGGTACCTTGAAATTGAGCTCAAAGTAGCAGAAATGTTCGATTTTTACCAAATTTCAAAAGTAAACAAATCGTGCCAAGCATGCAATACACGTCAAGTGGTGAGTCTAATATTCTTTCACAAGTGCACCAATAATATTTATACCATTTTTTACACTAATGCAGTAGTCTGCATAACAGTAAATCTTATATTTTTTGTGAGAATAAAAATTCAAAGTGGAAAGCAAAAGAATATAAGAGGGGCCTTGAGACGTGACTAATGACTAGAGGAAATGTCATTTTAGTGCCAGGAATGTCTTTCTTGTTTATTCTGGACCCTATTCGGAAATTGGCATCTTTTGAAATTTGTGTGAAATTGGCAAAATTGCTAAATTCTGACCACTGTACTGGATAGTTGAATTTCATAAATGGGTGGTTTCTTGCACCCATTCGATAGAAAAAATGGAGTTCTAGCGAAATATTCATGTTTTTTGTCGACTAGTACAGTGGAATTGGCCGAAAATGGGGCTCAAAGTGGGCAAAATCGCCGATGCGTAAACATCGCCGAGACTGCTAACTTTGCGAGAGCATAATTCCGTAAGTTTTCCATCAAATTTCAAACTTTTAGTGTCCTTATGATCGGGAAAAGATTCTCTATCTTTTCATAAGAGAAAATAATTTTTTTTTTTTTTAAATTTGGCCGACCCTGAGAATGAGTTTCGGAGAGGGCCTGTCGACCCTCAAAGGGTTAATGGAGACAAATGGTTTTTAATACTTGACGTGCTGTTGGAGTGTGAGCAAAGTAACATTTATGAAGGGATTCAGGGAAACCGGCAGGCCAGACTTGAGTCCTGGAGATGAGGAGTACAGTGTCTGCACTCGGAAGGAGGGGTGTTAATGTTGCAGTTTTATAACTGTAGTGTAAAGCACCCCTCTGGCAAGACAGTGAATGATGATGAAAGTTTTTCTTTTTTGGGCCAACCTGCCTTGGTGGGAATCGGCTGATGTGTTAATAAAAAAAAAAAAAAAAATAATAAGTGTGGATGTGTATGAGCAGGGTAATATTCTGTGAAGGGATTCAGGAAACTGGTTAGTTGAACTTGAGTCCTGGAGGTGGGAAGTACAGTGCCTGCACTTTAGAGGAGGAATCTGGGATATTTGCTGTTTAGAGTGATATCTTAGCTGTCGTATCTGTGCACCTCTGCAAATACAGCGATAGTTTGAATAATGGTGAATTTTTTTTTTTTAGGGGGGGTCACCCTACCTCAGTGAGAGATGGCTGATGTGTTAAAAAAAAAGAAGTGTAATTTGTGGTGTTTGTAAGCTTGAGACCTTGTGTGCTGTACATTAATCCCTCAATTTATGTGAGATATAGAGTGTGAGCAGGGTAATATTTAGTGAAGGGATTCAGGGAAACCAGTTATTTTTATATAGCCGGACTTGAGTCCTGGAAACGGGAAGTACAATGCCTGCACTCTAAAGGAGGGGTTCGGGATATTAGCGGTTTGGAGGGATATGTTGTGTATCTTTATAAGTATATGCTTCTAAACTGTTGTGTTCTGAGCACCTCTGCAAAAACAGTGATTATGTGTGAGTGAGGTGAAAGTGTTGAATGATGATGAAAGTATTTTCTTTTTGGGGATTTTCTTTCTTTTTTGGGTCACCCTGCCTCGGTGGGAGACGGCCGACTTCTTGAAAAAAAAAAAAAATTAGAATTCAAGAAATATAGATTTTTTTTTTTTTTTTTTTTAACAAGTCGGCCGTCTCCCACCGAGGCAGGGTGACCCAAAAAAGAAAGAAAATCCCCAAAAAGAAAATACTTTCATCATCATTCAACACTTTCACCACACTCACACATTATCACTGTTTTTGCAGAGGTGCTCAGAATACAACAGTTTAGAAGCATACACATATAAAGATACACAACACATCCTTCCAAACTGCCAATATCCCAAACCCCTCCTTTAAAGTGCAGGCATTGCACTTCCCATTTCCAGGACTCAAGTCCGACTATATGAAAATATCCTTGAATATTAAGACAAACTCATTTTTAAAATACTGAATGAAAAATAGAAAATGACGACTTAATATTTCTCAGCCCATGAAAACAATAGCCATACACATTATTATTATTATTATTATTATTATTAGTATCACTCATGGGGAAGCACTAAACCCATACTGGTGATAGCACCCATACACATTATATTATACACAGTAATGTGTATACCTAGTTGTCAAGGAATTTTTACAAAGTTATAAAGATTTACATCAAGAAGTGGCAAGATTTTATATTCTTCAGCATAAAATGCTTATTTTACCTGTTTACTCTGAAGACCATGGGCCCAAACACGCTCAAGGAGGTCACATAATGAGGCTATGAGTGTGTTCTCCTCCACACCCACTAGACTGCCCTCCCCATGACCAAGCTCAACCGCCTCGGACCCCATCTTCTCAACCAGCATTCGTTTTGTGCGAGTTTTGCATTCCTTTAAAAAACACAAAGGAGTATAGATATGATTAGTTTTTTAGCACTTCCAAGACATTTTAAACATTTAAAAAATGGGCTACAATCCTTTTCAAAGCCTTTATGTTAGTACTTAACATGCATGTGTTTAACAACATTACAATCTTTCCCATCTTTTATATGATTTCTTTAGCTGTCACATCAGTTTGCCTCAAAACACCAAGAGGAGGAGGTATAAGTAATACTGCTGGTCAAGATACTGACATTAACTTTCATTTTATCTTTTAGCTTTTGTTTTTCTTTTTAACTTTCATTTTTTTTTTTTCATTATTGTTTTTAGTGCACCCAGCCTCAGTGGGCTATGACTGGTGTGTTGAAAGAAAGTATTGTTATGAAACAGGAAAGACAATAGCTTACAAGTTAATAGGGAAAGGGCCTTTCTTCCTCACCCTACCTATATTACACCACCAGTATAACATCTTCCTGGTGAAGAACACAAATGTGTAATCAAGCTATAAGCTTTGCATGCTTGGAATTCTCATATGCAAGCAGGAAAGACTGCAAAAAATTCTAACACTAAGACAAAATCCATAACAGAAATAATAAGTACAAAGCTGTTAAGAAGCATTGTTACATATAGATAATTGGGGCTAATAACCCCCTTCTCCTGTATAAATTAATAAATGTAAAAAGAAATACTTTTGTTTTTTGTAAGTCATCCTGCCATGCTGGGATACAGCCAGTGCATTAAAATATATATATATTAATCCGTACTTTTAATGTTCTGTCAATTGAATGTGAAAATTATAAAAAATAAAGTGTTTTTAGCAACCTTTAAAAGCTGCTCCACAAACTTCCAGTTAGTTTGGGCCATATGGGCAGGTGACATATCTGCTAGCTTAGGTTGTAGCTTGGACTTAGCTTCATGCATCACTCTATCACGTTGGTCACCCGAGAGTCCAGTGTGCTCAAGGTGTCTCTCTTGTCTCTCCCGTCTTCGCCAAGCATGACTGCTGCGTTTCTTACTTCTGTTGATGGGATAAGATGTGTTAACATGTGGAAACAATGTAGCCAAGTATGCTGTAGCTGACTTACTCTTGTCAAGAAAGACAAGTTTGCAGAAAGAGCTTTTATTGGGATAATGTTATGATCTACTAAGATCTTTATCTATGCAATGAATATCTGAGAGTATACGTATATGAACTATAAACCTCAACATCATGGTTGTACACAACTAACCCTCAAATTTAGAGAGGAAACTTAAGATGATGATTTAGTTTATCCTGGACTGCTGTATTATCAAGCCGTGAGTAATCCAGGATGAAGAACATCACATAAAATTTTCATGCCAAATTGTTGATTAGTTATGAATTGTTCTAACTGTCATATTATAATTTTTATTCTTCAAGGTTATAAAATACAATCAAGGTAAAAATCTTCTTGCAAGCAAGGTAAAAAAGTCCTTGCACATTTATGCAGCTATGATACAACTATGACTATCAAGAAATGAACAAAATATTAACTATCATACATACAAATATGTAGATAAACAAAACCTTAGCCTATACAAAAAATCTAAACAAAATCTAGATATGCTGAGTGTCAGGTGATTAATTTTAAGATACTAGTACAAGAAAAATACGCACTTAAGCTAATTTTTAAATGATTTATTAAATGAAGGTAACTGAAGAGTACTTCCTCAGGCCAGTACCACTATGTATTATAGTATTTAATTAAGAAACTTACTTGTGAGGCTCTTTATTAAGTGCTATTCTGTCAAGGAGTGGAAAATGTCCAGGATTGAACTGTGTGCATGATTCTGCCTGAGGATCCATGGGCTGTGGTGCCGGGGCTCGGTAGTCTGTATGGGCCAGGCGCTTCTCTAATATCTGCTCTGTTTCTCTAATAGTTGTGCATGTCTCATATGATGGTGTGCGCACTAAGCTATCATCATACCGATCCCTGAAACAACACATAACTGCTGTTAACAAGTGTATGACTTATGCTGAATACAGCAGTCTGTCTACGTCAATTGGGACTTTTTGTGTGATAGATGGGTGGCTCAGCCAGAGAATTCTCCACCCAAGACACATACAGTATTCATACATATCTCCACCAGAAATGAATATTTACAGTATTACAAAATTAAACATTCTTGCTGTCAGATTTTTTATTTTTATATCTTATCTTTCTGTCAATATATTTTTTTTATTTTTTGCTTTACCCATAAGCTATAACAATTGCATATCTATGTCATATGTTTAATATTGAGTAGTTTTAGTCCTAGTGTGTGCCTGAAATGCTGTGCATTCTCTGGACTCTTCAATGCTTTATTTTAGCAATTGTATATAAATCTTCTGGAAATAAATTATTTGCACTTGCATAATTTTTTTTTTTTAACACATTGGCCATTTCCCACCAAGGCAGGGTGACCCAAAAAAGAAGAAACACTTCCATCATCACTCACTCCATCGCTGTCTTGCCAGAGGCATGCCAATACTACAGTTCAAAAGCTATAACATATTTCCAAACAATGCTCTTATTCATCTGAACATTCTTCCATCAAAGATACTCTCACCTTCAGCATTCTCTCAATTACTGTCACTCTTCACTCATAAAAGGTAAGCCTTTAGAGACCTCATTTCTCGATTTATTCTTGGTAAAAGCACCTACCTGAACATTCACAGGGACCTCTTATACACTATATGATAAAACACCTACAATTATTATTACTGCATTATTATACTGATAAGGAAGCACTTAGCTCATGGAGGCAATAAGCACCCGGGTGTGATGCAAGGAAGGAGACACTCCAATTTCTTGAATCAAGACCCTTTCACTAGATTCAAATATTTCATCCAGTCAAATAACTGAAGTATTGAAATTCATCCATTTTCTTTTAATATAATTACTAGGTAAATATTTGTTTTGCTTATTAAATACTGCTGACCTTGTACTAAAAACACCTCTAACAAATAAGATTTTTTTACATAAAATCAAATCAAATCAAGTTTATTCTCTATAAAGGTTACAATGTAGGGTTTACAGGATTTGGATATTGCGTGCTTTTTTTTTTTTCAACAAGTCGGCCGTCTCCCACCGAGGCAGGGTGACCCAAAAAAGAAAGAAAATCCCCAAAAAGAAAATACTTTCATCATCATTCAACACTTTCACCACACTCGCACATTATCACTGTTTTTGCAGAGGTGCTCAGAATACAACAGTTTAGAAGCATACACATATAAAGATACACAACATATCCCTCCAAACTGCCAATATCCCAAACCCCTCCTTTAAAGTGCAGGCACTGTACTTCCCATTTCCAGGACTCAAGTCCGACAATATGAAAATAACCGGTTTCCCTAAATCCCTTCACTAAATATTACCCTGCTCACACTCCAACAGATCGTCAGGTCCCAAGTACCATTCGTCTCCATTCACTCCTATCTAACACGCTCACGCACGCTTGCTGGAAGTCCAAGCCCCTTGCCCACAAAACCTCCTTTACCCCCTCTCTCCAACCCTTTCGAGGACGACCCCTACCCCGCCTTCCTTCCCCTATAGATTTATATGCTTTCCATGTCATTCTACTTTGATCCATTCTCTCTAAATGACCAAACCACCTCAACAACCCCTCTTCTGCCCTCTGACTAATACTTTTATTAACTCCACACCTTTTCCTAATTTCCACACTCCGAATTTTCTGCATAATATTTACACCACACATTGCCCTTAAACAGAACATCTCCACTGCCTCCAACCGTCTCCTCGCTGCTGCATTTACCACCCAAGCATTTACCACTATACTTTCATACATTCCCTTCTTTGCCTCCATAGATAACGTTTTTGACTCCACATATACCTCAACGCACCACTCACCTTTTTTCCCTCATCAATTCTATGATTAACCTCATCCTTCATAAATCCATCCGCCGACACGTCAACTCCCAAGTATCTGAAAACATTCACTTCTTCCATACTCCTCCTCCCCAATTTGATATCCAATTTTTCTTTATCTAAATCATTTGACACCCTCATCACCTTACTCTTTTCTATGTTCACTTTCAACTTTCTACCTTTACACACATTCCCAAACTCATCCACTAACCTTTGCAATCTTTCTTTAGAATCTCCCATAAGCACAGTATCATCAGCAAAAAGTAACTGTGTCAATTCCCATTTTGAATTTGATTCCCCAAAATTTAATCCCAACCCTCTCCCGAACACCCTAGCATTTACAACCATGGTGACATTACACATCTCTGTCTAAGACCTACTTTTACCGGGAAGTAGTCTCCCTCTCTTCTACACACCCTAAGCTGAGCCTCACTATCCTCATAAAAACTCTTTACAGCATTTAATAACTTACCACCTATTCCATATACTTGCAACATCTGCCACATTGCTCCTCTATCCACTCTATCATATGCCTTTTCTAAATCCATAAATGCAATAAAAACTTCCCTACCTTTATCTAAATACTGTTCACATATATGCTTCAATGTAAACACTTGACCTACACATCCCCTACCCACTCTGAAACCTCCTTGCTCATCCGCAATCCTACATTCTGTCTTACCTCTAATTCTTGTGTGGTTTACATGTTATAAAATACTAATTACAGAGGGGGGCCACTAGGACACCTAGCATGGCTAGGCATTTTGGGCAGACTTAGATTAATTCTTAACATTAAATCCTTACAGATTATGGTATTAAGGCTAGGTGATTACATTATAATTTGTGAGTTTAGCAATGTGAATGCTTTTGTTTTAGCACAATAAAAAGTGTCTATATTGGAGTATCATAGGCAAACTTATGACTAGTTAGGATTCATTATTTTAAGATTAAGATTAGTATTTCTGTGTTTATAGTCAGTGGGTGAGTGAGCGTAATTGTGAACCACCAGGTGGTTATCATGTAGTTAGTTGTCAGTGTGTATGAATATCCTACACTGGTACAAATGCACCATGTGAGGGGTAACTGAGTCCCCACATAAAAGTGACCACTGTATGAGCAGTTTCCAAAATATGTACTACATTACTCATAAAAAATATACCTATTTGGAATCTACTGACCAGTCGAGTAGTAGTAGTACATATTTTGGAAACTACTTAGATAATGGGCAGTTTAAGGTGATAGGTGTATCTCTCACATGGCACAATTGATCTACTGTACAGTATTTAATTCAGTAATCAACATGAAAAGTGGGACACATATGCAACAGTTAGGTATCTTTATTTCGAAACTTTTCGCCTACACAGTAGGCTTCTTCAGTCGAGTACAGAAAAGTTGATAGAAGCAGAAGATACTTGAAGACGATGTAATCAGTCCGTCACCCTTAAAATTTTGAGGTGGTCAGTCCCTCAGTCTGGAGAAGAGCATTGTTCCATAGAATGAAACTTCTAAAAATTCTATGGAACAATGCTCTTCTCCATACTGAGGGACTGACCACCTCAAAACTTTAAGGGTGATGGACTGATTACATCGTCTTCAAGTATCTTCTGCTTCTGTCAACTTTTCTGTACTCGACTGAAGAAGCCTACTGTGTAGGCGAAACGTTTCGAAATAAAGATACCTAACTGTTGCATATGTGTCTTACCTAACAACCTGTCGGTATTTTATACCATTTTAATGTTCAACATGAAAAGTGTTAACTGACATTTTTGTCAGAAGAAATTAAATATTGAATTTTACCAACACATGCAGTACATACTGCACCTACCTGAGCAGCCTGATGCGCACATCGAATATACGGAGGTTAGAGTCCTGCTTGCCCCAATTGGAGAGGATTTTATGATCTACCAATGTGGTGAACATTTGTGACTCAATAAATCGTGAAAGGAATGGAAGATGAAGTTCTGGCTGATCAGAGAGGAATGTTGCCTTGTCAAAGTTCTGCACTGATTCTCGACAGCTTAACCACTGTTCCATGTCAGTTTCCTGTAGTGGAAATGTTCAGCATTAAAATAATCTAGGCAATACAATCATAGTTATTTTTAGCATGTGTGAGATAGAGTCGTTTGCACAATTCTCTAGCGAATGTTGAATCGTTGTCAAAGGCTGCATATATGCTATTCTACTCTGTATAATCATTATACAAATGTTTACTGTGCAAGAGTAACTAATGAAACATTTAATACTCTTACTACCATACAACATTTCACTCTCTAGGAATTTTATCAAGCTGGACAAAGCTCCTGGAGAATAAAACATAAATGTAATAATGTCTCATTAGTTACCCACGTTCTTTTATCTAACATATTGTTAATAATTTAGTGATATTTATGTAATTAAGATGTTTCAGAAGAGAAATATGTTGATATATACAGGAAAGCCCAGCATATACAGCACCCTCTTATTGGTGTTCCACATTTTCGTGGAGAAAGACAGCCGTCGAGGCAAAATATATGAAATGGATTTATCAGTAAAATATTTGACTCTGGGTTAAAAATACCAGACAAAATACATGAAAACTGAGAGCTTCTTACCTGACAGTTAGGTTGGATGACGAAATGATCATAAGCACAGAACATGTGAACAAATCTATTTAAGAAAACCTCACGAACAGCATTATTAAACTTGAGCTCTTCCATCATTTCACTATCTCTTTCTTTTTTCATTCTGTCGCCTTCTTCTGAGTCATACACACCTGTTGGAAAACTTCACTTATATCACCTGAGTCTATGCAATATAAATATAGAAGTGTACTGTTGCTCTGAACATGCAATATAATTACTAATGAAGAAAGTATTAATGGAGAATGTATGTATAGTACGTATTAATGTTCCTTTATTTTGTACAATATTTATGAACCTGGTTTCAATGAACTCTTAATGATTTACTCTTATAATTTGCATTAAAGAAAGGTAAAATAATAAATTTCCTTATATTAAAATGCAGAATAAATTTGTTTAGAAACAATGCAGAGCATAAACCCAATTTAAGATACTTTTTCAAGAGTTACTATTTAGTCCACTGACCACCTTGCCTGACAAAGATATACTGTGATATACCAGCAAATTTTCTGGAGAAATTTATTTGATTATTTATTTGCTGTGTTGGGGAAACTTTCTTCTTTCAACAAATTAACTGTATCCCACCAAAGCAGGGTGACCCAAAAAGAAAAACAAAAGTTTCTCTTTTTAACTTTAATAATGTATACAGGAGAAGGGGTTACTAGCCCCATGCTCCCGGCATTTTAGTCACCTCTTACAACAGGCATGGCTTATGTAGGACGAATTTTGTTCCACTTTCCCATGGAGATAAGAGGAAATAAACAAGAACAAGAGCTAGCAAGAAAATGAAGAAAACCCAGAGGAGTGTCTATATATATGCTTGTAAATGCATGTGTAGTGTGACCTAAGTGTAAGTAGAAGTAATAAGACATACCTGAAATCTTGCATGTTTATTAGACAGAAAAAAGACACCAGCAATCCTACCATCGTGTAAAACAATTACAGGTTTCCGTTTTACACTCACTTGGTAGGACGGTAGTACCTCCCTGGGTGGTTGCTGTCTACCAACCTACTACATACATGTAGTAGAAACAGTAATACAAATTGGCACTCATTCTAAAATACCAAAATTTATGGATCAATTAGAAATATATTTTCTAAAGTGCTAGCAATACTCACCAGCTTTCTTGGCAATAGCCGTTATCTCTTTGAGATGTGGAGAAAAATGGAATGGGTCCAAATGATGACTTCTCGTTGAATTTGGAGGGCCTTGTAGTGGTGAAGTGGAGGTTGCTGTGGATGGTGGGAGGGAAGTTATAGAAGAATGGGAACCACTCATGGAACCTTCTGTGCTTGACACTCCAGAGTCAGAATCATGTGACCAAGAGTACTTTCGTCTCCTCCTGTATTTGTATTGGCTATGGTGTTCATTTAGGTTTCTGAAAAAAAAAAATAATGCAATGGGCAGTGATTAAGTCTACATGTCTGAGAATATTGTTTGACACAAATGGCAGCAAAAAACTCAGAAATTAAAAGTAGGTACTATGAGTAACTTCATGGTAAATAGTGTTATGTGGTTAGTGAATGCATAAGTGGATACTGAATGACTAAGGATGAAAGTGTCTCAGTATACATGTATTAAAATATGAGAAAGCCACCAAGTAGGTGTGTTCAAGTGAACAGCAGTAAAGATGTGAATGGTGAGGGGTTCCTCTATGGATATACCAGAAAGAGTGAAGTTAGAAAGTAAAGGGGTAGACAATGGATAACTTTGGTAGATGTGGAAAATATACTACTGAAGGTAAAAATTGTCACAAGGGAAGTAATATTACTGTACAGTGTACAGTATTTGGATAACACTTCTTTACGAAGTGTATTGAAAGCTATCTACAGAATGGATGTGAAGTTGATGGAGGTATCAGCCTTAACCAAGATGTCATCTTAGTGGAAAGAGCATTAATATTAAGTAGGTTAAGGCTAAACCTGACAGTGGGATCAAGGTACAATTTCACTACTAGATCTACCTTACTTTACAGGAAAATGCAAGTGTAGACAAGCAGAACATGTGTTAGAAACAATAAAATGTAGAAGTGAAGGATTACCCTTACACTAGATGAAATATTAATTATATTACAATGCAAATTTAAAAGATGTACAAAAAATATATTGCATTTCCAAATACAGTATGTAATGCAGGTACTACTTTTTTTTCATTGCCATTAATCTTCACATATATTTAATAAAATACTACTATCTAAAAAATAATAATAAAAAAAAATGTTAACAATTTCATAATGTTGGCCTTATCTCACCTGTCTAATTTACCAGTTGGTACTTCCCACTTTATGAGAAGCTGAGTTAATTCCTGAATGAAGTCAGAACGGTGTGGAAACACTGGAAGATCTTCTGGAACTTCTACTGTGCCTTCATCAACATCTACTAGACACAGATTAGCCTGAAAAAATATATCTCTAACAGATTGATTTTTATTAGATATGTTGGGCGAATTTGTTTCAGCACTAAATAAATGGCTTGCAATTTCCTTTTTTAATATTGCTAATTCAGTTTAATTCAATTTAAGGTGGTGTTTACAGCACCGTGCTGTAAACACCACCTCCAAGGCTGAGGGACTGATTACTTAATCTTTTGTATTTAGTTCTTCTGTTTTCTAATTATGTCCAAGAATCTGTATTGATAAAGCCACTGGATAGCAAAACATCTACAATAAAGATAACCAGATGTTGCACAAGTGTCTTAACTTATAACACTGATATACATGGTAAGCACTTTTTTTTTAAAGTTAGACCAGCAAAAATCCTGCAATAGTGTATTTTTTAAATGCTCTTTTAACATGCTAATGAACAGCCTGGCCCAAGGCTGGGCCTTGGTAGTAGAAAAACTATCAGAACTCATCAAGGGTATATACACCTGATCACCAGGTTCAGGTAGTCACAATCACAACTTGTAAAGGAGTTTAACACCCAGGAGGAGGCCTGAGCCATTATCATTTCATATATATTTTTTTATTTTTTTGCAGTGCTGTATGACCCATATGTGGTTTACCACTTCCTTTCGAATAATAACAATAATAATAATAATAAAAATAATAATAATATATAATAATCATATTACAGCTTATCCTCACTTAACGATGGAGCTCCGTTCGTAAGACCACATCGGTAAACGAATTCATCGCTAAATGAGGAGCATACTATAATGGTAGTGGGTTTGTGTCAACCATCTCTGATATTGTTTTAATGTTACCTTTGCACCATTTATAACATTTTTAGTATATTTTTAAATGTTTATACAGTAGTCTATTGTATGTTGTAATAAACAGAATGGAGGAAATCAGCTCCGATATACATTATTTAGGTATGCATACTGGTCAGATAGGCTGTCGTAAATCCAAGTCGTCGATAAACGAGTATGCTGCTAAGTGAGGAGAGGCTATATTATTATTTTTAACTACTATTATTACACTAACTTTGAACTCACTTCATTAGGGATTTGTATGGTGTCTCTGGAGTCATGAGAACACTGAAGACCCATAATGAAAGGCACAGGGGCATCTAGGAAATGGTGGAGAGAGGCGGGTAGAATTGGCACGTACACATGCTGCCACACAAAGGGAAATACCAGTGTGCATATGCTCTCTGCAACCAGCATAAGTTTGTTGTAATCTGGAAAAAAAAAAAGAGTAAACATTAAAGATAGTCAGGACTCGTACAAATGACTCCGATGCTATCAAAACATATAAAAAATATAGAATTTCTTTAGACAGATGATTTTAACATTCAAACTTTCAAAAATAAATGCCTTAATACATTATTTATGCATGAAAAAATAGGAAAATCTTCTTTCAACAAACCAGTCGTATCCCACCAAAGCAGGGTGGTCCAAAAAGAAAAACAAGTTTGTCTTTTTAACTTTAGTAATGTATACAGGAGAAGAGGTTACTAGCCCCTTGCTCCTGTCATTTTAGTCGCATCTTACAACACGCATGGCTTACAGAGGAAGAATTCTGTTCCACTTCCCCATGGAGATAAGAGGAAATAAACAAGAATAAGAACTAGAAAGAAAATAGAAGAAAACCCAGAGGGGTGTGTATATATGTGCTTGTACATGTATGTGTAGTGTGACCTAAGTGTAAGTAGAAGTAGCAAGACATACCTGAAATCTTGCATGTTCATGAGACAGAAAAAAGGACACCAGCAATCCTACCATCATGTAAAACAATTACAGGCTTTCGTTTTACACTCACTTGGCAGGACGGTAGTACCTCCCTCGGCGGTTGCTGTCTACCAACCTACTACCTAATTAAGGAAAATATCTTTTTTGAATTACTCTGGCATGCATAAACAATGTTTCAAGTTTTTTTTTTTACTAAAGTTCAGATGTTGAGTCTACCCTTGTTATCATCAATGCCTCAACTGCACACTACAGTTGACTGTTGAATAACACGATGTTAAGCATGTTAAGCATCTAAAAGAGGTACAGTGTACTGACTAAAAAAGAAATTTCTGATTCAAATGTAACCATGAATAAAACATTAAAAACTCTGCTACAAACAGTTATGCAAAATTTTGTTACAAACAGCTATGCAAAACTTTGTTACAAACAGTTAGGTGAATGAGCTGCCTAACTGTTTATGATTCAAGCACACTAACCATACAAAATATTGTTAAGCAAAATGTAACTAACTCGTCAAAAATAATGCAGGTTCCTATTCTCTACACTGTAATAGTCATTTCTTGATCTGGAAATGTTTGGAGAGAGTTGACATGGCCGTATATAAACAACAAAGAATGTGGCAGAGAGCATCAACTAACACCATCACCTACTACTACCATCACCTGCTAATATCAGTAAAAACACTCCATACAGGGCGACCCAAATATGTACACACACACTTCTGGGCTTTTAAAATCCTTCTGAGGGTTTCTTGAGGAATACCCAGTTACAAGAATGTCCTGAGGAGACCAATATTAATATGGATATTTTTATTAAATTAGCTTCTGAAATATTCTATTAACTTACTGTGAAAGCCCAACAGATTCATGAATATCCACAAAATTAAGGAAATATATATTCCTATATCCCTCAGATTGTGGCAGTGGCTCTAGACCCCAAATTAAATTCATATGTACATTTCATTTCTTATTACCAAATGTAAAAAGAAAAACTTTCATTTTTCTCTTTAGGTTACCCTGCCTCAGTGGGATGTGGCCAGTTCGTTGAAAAAAAAAAAATTTACAAAAAGAATGACCAACCAGCTTTGCCACTTCTGGACACCAAGTATATAAAGAAATAGTTGTATGGTACAAAATAACAATCTCTTACCGCTAGACACTAGGATGACCTGATTTTCCAGTAACACACAAGTGAGCAACTGGACAACACTCTCCACTCCAAGACAAGAGCAGAATTCTCGTAATGAATACTGAAAATACAAATAAAAATTGCAAGGAAACACTACAACAAATGTAAAGATTAACTAAGATTGTAAATGTTGCTTTAAGTTCACCTCTAAAGATTAACCCAAAGTATGAGTGATGTTAAAATGTTGATGAAACAAACAATTTTGAAGTATAGAGGTGTTGTGCTGACTATCATGTTAGTAACATGCATGTGTGTGTTTAGGTGTACAGATGTAAACTTTTATGCATAGCTCTTATAAATGTGCTGCAATACAGTAAAATATAAATCAATCTGCAGAAATTCCTTTAACACAAACCTCAAACAATGGAAGTTCATGGCTAGTGGGACGGTGACAAATGTGTGTCTTTCCTACACAAGAGAAAACAACACAACGACCAGGTGGTGGTGCTGGCACTTCGTACAATAAATTGTAAACATGAGACTCTAGACTCACACCACTACTCTCACACTGAATGAAGAACCTGAAAAAAAGACAGATACCCTCAATCTAAAGAATGTGCCATTAACAGAAAAAATATACAGTAGTGGCCAATAAAATATCCAGGAGTATACATCAAGTATACCTGGAGAGGGTTTTGAGGGCCAACACCCCTACGGCCCGGTCTGAGATCAGGCCTCTTGAGGAGAGATGTACCACAATTTCATAAATCACAGCTTCCTGTTTGAGTCTACTATTAATTACGTAATTCAAGTTTTCTGCTGTCTTTATTATTTAAAATTATGCAGAGAGTTAATTAGTAAAACATACACAAAAAAATTGTGTGTGGACTATGCTGTTCTGAATTTGAAAACTAAATGTAAAAATGATGATGATAATTACCTAGAGTACTTTATAATGACTTTCTATGATGATTATAAACATTATATAGGATTCCATTATTTTTTGCATTGCACACTACTCTACATTTGATAGGACAAACTTGTATTCATTTATTTACTTTTCAATAATGGTATTTAGCGGGGCTGTGGAGTCGGTACATAAAACCTTAGACTACAACTCCTTTATTTATGACACCTTCAACTCCAGCTTCTTTAATTATATATCGATACAGGAAATTATAATTTGTTTTTATAAATACATATACTAATTACTATATTTCCTATATCGACTGCAAGATAGAATGTTGTCATTATTTTCCTCATTCACAACTTCTAACAATTTAGGATAAAAATGCTGCAAGTGTCTTCTTAAATTTGAGGTTCTTGTAGGTGTACTTTTGTCAGAACCACTAAAACTACTAATTTTTGCATTACATGTTTTTTTCAGAATCATCATCTTTTATAATACATTGACACACACACAATGTTTCTCAACTGTTGTTATTGTAAAATGTTCAAAAACAGCCAACTTTGTTGACACTCTTTTTGCCACTGATTTTCCTCGTACGCTGCTGCTTTCACTTATTTTTATATCTAAAATATGTAATACAGTATTTTCAAATTTGCAGAGAACTTGAAATTAAAATACATCCTGAAAATAATATATATCCTGGAAAAGAAAAATTGGTTAATCAAATTATTTTCTGTAAAACAGGAAATTTTACCATTTTATATTATTTACATTCTACGTAATTTAATTTTTTTACATGTTGGAGTCGTTACATTTTTATGGACTGCGACTCCAGTAACCCAAGAATTACATCTGACTCCAACTCCAGTTACCCAAGAACTGCATCCGACTCCAACTCCAGTAGCCCATGAAGAATTGCTTCCAACTCCGACTCCACAGTCCCGGTATTTAGTTACATTAATTATAGTTTATTTACTTATTCAGTGGCAGTAGTTATTTATTTACTTATTTATTTATCATATAATATTCGACTTAAGATATTTTCAACATACAACAGGTTCATCAGAACATAGCCCCATAGTAAGTCGAGAAGTACCACTGTACGTATTTTAAGTTGAACGGAATGATGCTACCATTTTAAAAAGAAACAATTTGTATGTACTGGTATGAAAAGCATACAAGTAAATTTTCTCACCTGTAAAGTCCCTTTAGAAATTTTCTTGCAGCATAAACATATGGGTGTTGACCAACAAGGGCAATACATTTGGTCACATACAGCTGATCTTTAGTTATATCATAGAAGTGAAGCGCTGCTGGTGACTTGGGGGCTGAGAGGCGGAACTGGCGGGGGAGGGAACGGGTGTCTCGACTGTTTGGCGTTGCTCCAGATGAAGCCTTGGCATGACTACTGGACATCTCCGTCAAGTACACAGACTGTCAAAAGTAACATTAAATTTGATATGCGATCATTCTCACAAGGGACCAACATAAAAGTATTGAAAGACAGAGGAAAAGATGAGTAGATAAACAAACAGACAGATGATTCTATTGGGCTACCTGATTGAAGATATACAACCCTAATTATTCTTCCTTCTGTTTCATGATAAAACAAGAGCCATGATAATCACTCCACTTACTCAAATACAGTTGAACCCAAAATTAGTGACAAAGAATGAAAGTAAAAAAAAAGAAGAAAATTAAACTATTAGATGAGTTGCTATTTACCAATACAAATTTTAACCTTTACAAAGTGGAAGATTTGCTTCTATAATGTGTCAAGAGCAATATAATTTTTCTGTTTAAGTTCTATAAGTAACTTCTATACATATTTTGTCTGCAGTAGAAAGGATGCAATTACATGGTGAACAATTCTGAATGGACCTTTGATTCTGTGCTTCAACTCCAGTAACATTTGCGAGAATTCCTTTTTGCACTTTAAGATATTATATACGTACTGTACATAGCTGGGATTTATTTCGAGTTTTTCTACTCTTGCAGCCCAACGTGAGGTCAGACTTTTTTTTTATAATTTTAAATTTACAAGCCAAGACGTGTCATCCAACCTCAGATCAATTCAAAGCCCAGGACAATCTAAGACATACCACACCCCTAAGGATTCCGACCACAAGAGCCAGCAAATAAATACAGTGGACCCCCGGTTTACGATATTGTTTCATTCCAGAAGTATGTTCAGGTGCCAGTACTGACCGAATTTGTTCCCATAAGGAATAAATATTGTGAATTAGATTTGTCCATTTCAGACCCCCAAACATTCACATACAAATGCACTTACATAAATACACTTACATAATTGGGAGCTGATCGTAAACCGGGGGTCCACTGTACTCATGTACCTATTTACTGCTAGATGGACAGGGGCAGTAGGTGTAAGGAGACTTGTCCAACATCTCCAGCTCCACAGAACTGAACCCAAGTTGTCTGGTTGTGAACCACAGAGCTACAAGCCATCTTCCTATTGACTGTCTATCAGCCAGGCAGTTGCTGCCCATTGTCTGCTAGCTTACATAGCTATCACAATCTGGCTGATCTGACATTGTGAGGGAACCTGGCCAGTTTCCTCTTGAAGACTTCTATGTTCCTTCTTTCAGCTTTTTTTTTTTTTACCTGCTCATAAAAAGTTGAAGAATCATGGACCAATTTACAGTGAGTTTATTCTATATTTCCTCCTGTACCTCTCACTCCAGGAAATTCTGGCATTCAATAAATCAGAGCCTTTGAGTATTTTCCATGCACAGCACAGTACAGTACTATATATATTGACAGGTACTGTATCCATTCCAAACAGTACAATCCAAGTAGTACTTTGAAACATTCCCAGTATTTTAAATGCTTTATTGATTATATACTGATTCTATGATGGCAGTAAATGATCCGTGTACATTTTCCAGCACTGGTCTCTCTCCAGCCTTGAAAGAAGCTTTAAGCACATAATATGTGAGAGAACATATGTTTTGAATAGTTCCATAGTCTACTATCATTGATGAAATTTCCCTTACCATGGAAGTTTGTATAATTATATAGTACTTATCCCTTTTTGTGACCTTTGTTGAACTTGCCTTATTGTCTTCCCTAAGTGACAGGTCATCCAACATTTTTACTCCTGAGTCTTTATACATTCTCTTCATGCTATGAGATGGTTTGTCTGCATTTTGTTTCCCATGCTGGCTTTTCACCTCATTACTACCATATCTAAGAAATTAGAATTTGTCACTGTTGAATACTGAACAGTATTATTTTTCATTACTCAGTGGAAGATTGTTGAAATCAATAATCAGTAAGTTTTTCTGATTTTCAGTGAGGCCTTCTTCATGCTTATTTTATCATTGACAAAAGATGATACAAAGCTGTGGTTTGTGTTGTTATCTAATGCATGTCTGTAATGAGGATGAGCAACACTATTATTATTACATTCACAGGAAAGCATTACACCTGTAAGAGTTATACAGTACGATCTAGGGAATGGGAGGTAATCAAGTTCAATCTGGGGAAGAAGGTAGCTCCAATTCCTAGAAAAAGAGCCCTTCAGGTATTGTACTTCAAGCTGGTTTAAGCTGGAAAGATTGCTAATAACACAAAATACAGTTAAAAAATAAACTCAATATTAAATCATATACTCAAATTTGTAACTCAATAGGGAATTTTTACTAAAATTCTGTTAATACATGTATATAACTTTTAAAACTGAAAGAAAAAGTGGGTAATGTGAAATAAAAGAACAACTCACCTGGAGTGTGTGCATGGCAGTACAAATCTGCTGAGAATTAACTTCTTCATAGAAGACATAAGCAAAGCCATGAGCTCGAGAGCCATCTTCCTTGGTCACGAGGAAGGGATGAAAGCGAGGTTCCAAGAAGTGCTTCTGAGTCCGGAACTGCAAACCTCGTGGCAGGCACAGCTGTAAAGGAACACTGAACTTTGCACAAGCATGATTATTATTATTAAAATCAAGGGGAAGCGCTAAACCCGTAGGATTATACAGCGCCTGGGGGGGATGTGGAAGGCATTCAGGCTTAATTTGGGGAACTGGAGCACAGATCCAATTCCCTAAATCAAGAGCCCCTCACCAACATCAAGGAACCTTCCCTGAGGGGAGCACAAGCATGAACAATTGCAAATTATGTACTCCTATACAGCGAGTATATGCTGGGAAGATGTACAAATCATCATCAGAAACTAACAAAAGAATTATTCAGTTTATAGGAATAGAGCTCTAAACCTATAGAGCTTATTTAAACAATGCTTTGGGGAAATAATCAGATTTGATCCAAGAAAAGGGAGGGTAGTTCCAATTCTTTGGATCAAGCACCTTCCCTAAAAGAAACCGAACACCTTTAAGAGGGTTAAGAAGAAAAAATTAAGTAATGTGGTTTATTTCTATTGGGATCCCTAAGTCCTCTCTTTCTCTTTCTGTTATTTAAGGCACTTCAATGCCAAGTTTATTAGCACCATAAAATCATCTTGATCAACACTGTGAACACAAATACCTGCAATTGTTCCCATGGTAACCTGGGCAAAGCTACTGTGGCCAATGAAGTTGCCACCTTCATGAGACAGAGGAGAGCCACAATGTGCGTCCCATGTGCAGGAAGGTACAGAGCACAACACCACTCAAAATAGAGATTCCAAATCCTCCTACTTCGTAGAAAATCCAGCAATAACTAAATTAAGAATACATTTGTCAATATGCTTCTATTCCAAGGGATCTTCCTGGACCTCCCATATGCCTCAAGTCTCTGGTGGTAATGATCATATTAGACACAGTAGAGAAGATGCACTGATATGCATTTTGGTTGTCTTCCAAAGCCTCCTTAATTTTGTCATAGTAATTCAGCAGCTGTGACAGGTATGACTGTCCTGCTCGAAAACCATGTTGGTCTGGGTTATGCTGTCACAAGGCCCATAGAACAGTTGCGCTGTTCCATCTATGAAATGTTGTACATTAACCCAGGTACACCCATACAACTACCACATCCTTTCAGAACGAATTTGTGAAGAAGTGGAATCTTTAATGATGGGTTTAATAAACCTTGACCTGGCATCCTATATTCTACCCCTAATAGCTGATCGGGTTTCCGATACCTCTTAGAGGTTCATAACTTCCATCCTGTGGCGCAACCCTGACATTAGCCTCCTAAGTTGTTACCCCTAGGTCCTCTTCACACAGGAATTTTTAAAGGGGGTGGACCAGTAAGCCAGCAGAAGTCCTCGGTCAGATGACCAAAAGCTTCAGCTGCAGGTCATCAGATGACTATGACCCCGCATTAGGAAACACTTGTCCTGTTTCCTGACAAACCTTAATAATGGTCGTGGATTGCATCCTATGTTAGGCTGGATTACAACCTAACATAGGATGCAATCCACAACCATCATTAACCATGAGTCAGATTCCAGGGTAGTAGGTGCAAGAAGACTTGCCCAATGTCTCACCTTGGCCAAGATTTGAAGCCGAATCCTCTCAGCTGTAAGTTGAATGCTCTACCACTGAGCTACAAAATACTAATCAATGGTACAGACTCGCATGTAGACAAAATAAATGTTAGTGAGGCCTAAATATACAGCATTCATATTTTCTGTTTGTCTCCATGTGGGTTCCTTTGACATACTAGTCACCAGTCTTGAGGGTTCTCTCCTCGCAGCCCACCCAGAGGTCAGGCGTGTTAACTCTCTGATCAACTAGGCTGTTGCTAATGATCAGCAACCCACACACCCATCACATCTTGGCCGATCAAATATTTTCGGCAGACAGTAGTCATCTTTAGATCAAAGGTATATGCTGTAATACCAACAACTTGATGAATAGGATACACGTGAAACATTATCAATTGATGGTGGTCAAGTCTTCCTTGGAAAAATTTCTCCCTTGCTACAGAAATATTTCTGGATTGCAAATCACTTGGATTCCCAACAATTGCACAATCTAGAGCAGCACAGGTTTAAAGCAGGTCGATCCTGCCTCTCGCAACTATGACATGGTGTTGGATGTACTGGAGGACAAACAGAATGTAGATGTAGTATTCACAGATTTTGCAAAAGCCTTTGACAAGTGGTGTAATAGTGCACAAAATGTGTGCTTAAAGGGATAACTGGCAAAGTGGGCAGATGGATCTTCAACTTTCTAACCAATCGAACACAAAGAGTAATGGTAAACAGAGTTAAGTTAGAGGCTGCCACAGTGAAAAGCTGTTCCACATGGCACAAATATTCACCCCCATCCTGTTCCTTATCATCAAGTCAGATGCAGACAGAGACTTAAACCATACCATGAAGACGATACTAGAATTTTTCATGAGACTGTCATCCAACGAGGACACGGTAAATAACTAGGTAGATACAAACCAAGTTTTCCAATGGGCAATGGAAACAATATGATATTCAATGAGGACAAATTTCAATTACTCCGTTATGGAAAACTGAAGGACATGATAGCTAGGACTGAGTTACTACAAACTCTAATCACACAAAGTAGTGTGAAGGACCTGGGAGTGTTAATGTCAGAGGATCTCACCTTCAAGGATCACAACAGTGTCACTATAACATCTGCTACGAAAATGATAGGATGGATAACGAGAACCTTCAAAACAAGGGATGCTATACCAATGATGAGCACTTTTAAATTATTTGCTCTCTCTAGGCTAGAATACTGCTGTACACTAACAGCTCCACTGAAGGCAGGTGAAATCGCAGATCTACAGAATGTACAGAGAACCTATACTGCACATATCTGTTCCATCAAACACCTTAATTACTAGGAATGCCTAAGTCATTTGACCTGTACTCACTGGAACGCAGGCGAGAAAGATCTACAAATGGAAAATCTTAGAGAGACTGGTCCCTAATATGCACACAGAAATCACCCCTACGAAAACAAAAGACTGGGAAGACAGTGCAACATACCCCAAATAAAAAGTAGGAGCGCCATTAGTACAATAAGAGAGATCATATTAAGTGTCCGGGGCCCAAGACTGTTCAACAGCCTCCCACCATACACAAAGGGAATAATTACCAATAGACCCCTGGATGCCTTCAAGAGGGAGCTGGACAGATACCTAAAGTCAGTACCCGATCAGATGGGCTGTGGTTCATACATCAGACTACGTGCGGACAACAATAACAGATTGCCTGATCAGGCCCTGATCCACAGGGAGGCCTGGTCATGGACCGGGCCGCTGGGACGTTGACCCCCGAACACCCTCTAGGTAAACTCCAGGTAGTAACAAATTAAATTATCTTGAATCATGAGTATTAACGAAGAGTATGTATGTATGTATGTGTTAACGTGTGTATAGTCGCAAGAGTTGAGTTATATTGGTCTGTGAGTGATGCTGTGAACACACATCCTGCCGTAATCTCCGTCAGGTCCATGACTCCCTCCCACACTACTACTGTCGTGTGGGTAGCCGCAACACGGTGTCCCTCCCACACTAAACCTACCTCAGGGCCATGACACCCTCCCACACTACTCTCACCGTGGCATCCATGACGTGGCGAGATTGACCATTGTTTTAACGCTCCTGCCATTCACACTCCCCCTTTATTTTTATTCGTCGGGAGATAGGACAAGTTTCTCCCAGCACCGGTCTTAACCATATATGACACATTATTGCCACTCCCCCCTATTAAGTAACATTTTCAATACCCACACTTTAGCTTCATCCAAAGACCAAAGAACACACCACTAACACTTAAAAAAGCACATTTGAAGCTTGCGTCAGGCGGGTGATGACGTCCCGTGAACTAAGTGAATCATTACCTTGCCTTGAGTCACCTCCTCCATCATTACAGCTTACATTTTCCGAGCTCCAGACAAAGAGTTTAAAAAAAGTCAGTGAATTCTGGGAACAGTAGTTCACGTGGCCATTTATTTAAATATACGTCAGTAACAAGAGACAAGTGTTGCTTTTCTCTTGTAAACAATATTTACCAGGGACGGGGCCTACATACCAGAGCCCATAATATTCTTATTTAAGTGACTATTGTCTTCAAGAGGGAACATGACATGCTTTTCAAGTCATTTCATATTCTGCCGGGCTGTGATGCCTACGTCGGACTGCGTGCTGCTAGTACCAACAGCCTGACAAGTCAGGCTATCAACCAGCAGCCCTCCTCGAAGACTAGGTCGAGGGAGGGAAAGACGACCCCGAAATTAACATGTAGACTGTCACCTTCATTAGTTTATTCAATATTAGCTATTTTCACGACCTCTGTAACATGTACTAATGATAGTAACAAGTAAGAAATTCCCGTAAGAATACACACACACACACCTTTATTAAAATGCACCAAAGTGGTTTAGCCACTTAACTTTAATTACCCCTTCTCCCCACCTCTCACCCACTCTTTTGTCATATTCCATCCTTGCCTATCCTTCTTCCTTCCCCCATCTTACCAAATCTCCAGTCAAAACCTACCTACCCACACCTCTACCTCTTACCGGGTTACCCAAGTCCTTCACTTACTGGTATCCATACGCACATTCCGATAAACCTTACACATTTTACAAAAACTTCTAGTCATCTCCGCAAGCAGGCTTACATTCCAGGGATGAAGTCACCATCACAGTTCTGTTCTCTTTTGCGAGAATTAGCTATAGGAATTCTCAACCATCGTCAAGTCACTTTCCTAAGTTCAACCTGCTGGAGATCCCATTTACGTTTAAACCCATCATATCTTCAAGTCTCTCAGCTGAGGCTGACACATTTTATTACCTCGTGAATGAAAGTGCGATGGAATATGAAGCAGAAACACATCTTGGTTTTTTTTTTTTAATAATATAATTATCATACGGAATAGGGTAGCAGTGAACCAAAGATATATCCAGTTACAAAATAAATAACCTCTCTCTCTCTCTCTCCAGTTGCTTTCCCACCGTCCTTCTACTTTCATTTTGTGCTTCCA